CTTCGTCCCCGACCGAGGTACTGCCGATAGCGACGGAATCGTGTCGTTCGCCGCCTGGACACACCCGCCGGATCTTGACCTCGACTTCGACCCTGATGGATTCTGGCACTCCAACACCATACCTGCAGCAGAGAGAACATGAGCATTAGCAGTCATCAGACAAGAAAGACAAGTACCAGCAAGTGTCCCTTCCCAACCATCACCTGCAGTAGCAGCAGCAGGACCCACCCGAGTACCACCACCAGCGATCAGAGGACCGCCAACCGAAGCAGATCAACTTATGCCCATCACACGAGAAGTCTGTCGAAGTCCCGCCACAGTCGCCGCGTTCTTCTCCAACACCAACATATACCACCGCTCGCCCGGCCATCGCGCTCCCGACGACATCTGGCACCAACGACTCGGGCACCCTGCAAATAGTACAATACTACAAACCATCCAAGCCAAAGTGTTAGAACGCAACGCTCTCCTAACAACGAGCGGTCAAGAACTTCGACGACCACGCGCACGGTGCTTTACGTGCCCCGAAGCCGATCTTCCCCACCAGCCTTTCGCATCTCATCACAACCCAAGCGCACCTGCATACGCACCGATGGAAAGAGTCTACAGTGACATTTTAAACATGCCTCGAGAAGACGCTGAAGCAGACTTCAACTATGTCATCACGTTTATCGACGCAGCAACAAGATACGTCTGGCACTACAACCTCAAGACGCGCGACCAAGCCTTCGACGCCTTCACGACATGGCTACCCATCGCCGAACGAGAATCCGGAACCAAACTCAAGAGCTTCCAGTCAGACGGTGCACTGGAATACCAGTCACAACGCTTCAGGACCTATCTGGCGGAAAGAGGAATCAGACGCCTAGTGTCTCTGCCCTACACTCACCAGCAGCAGGGGGTCGCAGAACGCATGAACCGGACCTTGCAGACGACGATGCGAAAGCTGCTCCTGGGGATGAGACTGCCCACCATACTGTGGCCAGACGCGATGACACATGCAGTCCACCTGCACAACCTGTTGTCCTCGTCATCGCTTCCCAACAACGCATCACCGCACCAGCTGTGGACACAAAAAAGGGGCAGCACAAAATTACTTCGCGTTTTCGGCTGCATGGTACAGTACAGACCCCACACAGCCCGAGCAGGACGCTTCACTCAACGAGCTCGGTGGGGACTACACCTCGGCATCGCAAAACATTTTCACGCATGGAAAATCCTCGACATACAAGACAAAAATACAGTGGCATCACGTGACGTTATCTTCTACGAGCGACTGACGCTGCAGCATTACCTGGACAACATTGCCAACACACACGACCCCACCGACGGCTTCGCGGGTCTTCGTTCCTTCGCCGACCGTGCTGCCGAGGCTGACGCAGCAGAAGAAGACGTACCTGGAGCCTCGGAAGCTGCCGGACCACTCCCTTTCTGTTCCGTACCTGTTCCACTCGACGAAGACAATCCCCTCGATAGTAACAACCTCGACACCTTTTACCACTTCGCTGACCAAGGTTACATTACACCCCACCCGGTCGACACAAATGTTTCAGAACGCATCGGCCCCAACTTCTTACCTGATCCTGATGACGGTGACGAAGCAGCCTATTCCGGGAATGAAAATTCCCCTCGACACACACCCACGGGACTGCAGATACTCGGCCTATGGGTCTCCGTCCAGCATCCGCCGCCACCATCTCCGCGCGAGCCCCCGACTCTGTCGCAGGCTTTGGGGGGGGAACATAAGGCGAAATGGAAGGAGGCGATGGAAAAGGAGTTAAAGGCTCTGCAAGACCGAAATACATGGAAGCTGGTACCTGCAACAAGCATCAACGGGAAGAACGTCCTCTCGGGAAAATGGGTGTACCGCATCAAGACCAATGCCGACAGTTCCACCGAACGATTCAAAGCTCGATGGGTCGTATGAGGGTTTGATCAACGATACGGAACCGACTACACAGAAACATTCGCCCCAGTCTCCCGTCACACCTCATTGCGCATCCTACTCGCCGTCGCGGCCACGAAGAAACTACCACTGCGCCAAATCGACGTCGTAAATGCTTTCTTGTACGCACCTGTGGACGCTGAGATCTTCGTCGAACAACCCCGCGGATTCATCGACGACCCCACGAAAGTATGCCAGCTGATAAAATCCCTATACGGGATCAAGCAAGCCCCGCGGCTCTGGCAGCAGCATCTTCACGGTCGCCTCGCAAAAATCGGATTCCTACAGCTGCCGCATGACCAAGGCATGTACCGACTGCAAAAGGGAAAAGAGTATATCCTACTCATCGTTTACGTCGACGACCTGCTCTACATCGGTTCCACTACCGACATCGCCACCTGGTTCGAAGGGGAGCTGAAAGAAGACTTGACGCTCACGGTATCCGACGCAGTGACCCAGTACCTGGGACTGAATGTCGTCGAAGACAACTCGGCGTTCTACCTACACACTGGAAAGTACGCAGGCACCGTCGCGAAGAAATTCGGTCTAACACCGACTACGATCCCAACTCCCTACCGCTACGGGAACAACAACAGCACCTCCGCAAAACTCCCCGCGAAGCAAATCCAGGAGTATCAACAGAAACTCGGCTGCCTACTATTCGCAGCAGTAACCTGCCGACCCGATCTCTCCTACAGCGCGAGCCAACTGGCGACGCATCTGAAGCAGCCGGAACAAGAAGATCTCGAGGAGCTCAACCGGGCACTACTCTACTTCGTCTCCACGCCAACGACCGGACTTACCTACAGCAAAGTAACCACACCGTCCGTACGACTACTCGGATACGTCGACGCCGACCACGCGGGAGACAAGGAAAATCGACGATCGAGAACGGGCTACATCTACCGACTAGAACCTATCGGGACTATCTCCTGGCAGTCAAGCAAGCAGGAACTAATCGCACTATTTTCGGCTGAAGCAGAATATATCGCCCTCTGTACTGCGACCAAGGAAGGACTCTACCTGCGAGAGTTGCTAGAGGAAGCGAAGATTGCGACCCTGCCCGCCTTCTCACTCCTCTGCGACAACCAATCTGCGATCAAAATCGCAAACAAGGACGGCTTCGCCAACCGAACCAAACACATCGCCCTGCGGTACTTCTTCGTCAAGGATGAAATCGCGAAGGGGAGACTTCAACTCAGTTACTGCCCTACGACAGAAATGGCCGCAGACTATCTGACAAAGAAATTGGCGAAGGCGAAGTTCGATTACTGCATGCTGCTGACCGGGCAGACAAACGTCACTGGATCTGAACACGTCAGCACTCCAGAAACGAAGGGGAGTGTTGGAAATATCTCAAAGGACTTAAGCGTTTCTGAAGTGTAACACTACACTCGAGGAAGATCACAACGGGTACGCGAGTCAACGGAGGTTACACAAGGGGGCGGACAAAGAATGCGAAGGGACTTGAAGGGTCGCAACTGGAGGGTGCGACTGACCGTTACAACAGCGCGGATAGTAACCGAAGCGACAATCGAGTCGCTGTGCGACTCGATAAACCGCTCCTGTAACTGTATTCTACAACTGCTTTACTTTACTATTTTCTATATATTGCTGTATGCTTGTTTCTTTTATTAGATCGTATTCTGAAGTTGGGCCGACGAGCAAAGTTTTCCCATGCGGCTCGAAATGTCTAAAATTGGGAATGCAATGTTGGGCTGTGCGCTTCGGCTTTTGCCGAAACCAAAAGTTTCGCCAACGTGCCCTGCGAAGTGGGCGCACGACCAACGCGATCAACACGTTCGGCGAAAATTGGTACTGTGGGTGAATGCGCCTCGACTGAACGTGAGCCACGTTTGCAAAACAGACGGCCCAGTGGCACGGTTACCGCATCAGCTGCCCGTAACAGCACACAAACAAACGAGAGGTCAAACGCCTTTTTGTATTGCTTGTTCGTCTGTACGAGAGGTTGTCGAATTGGGTAGGAGAAGTGGCACTCGACGATTTACGGTGCTGCGCGCGTTTGGTATGTTTTGGGGCTCTTGGCGGGTTTTTTTGTACCAGTGTTGTTGCAAATTTCGACCGACAGGTTGCAGACGCGCATCTGGTACATTTTTCAGGTCGCCTATGGGTCGCAGCCCGTTGTGCGCGCTTCTCAGTTGGCCGCGAAGTTTTGCAGGTCGCATTTTCGCGGCTTGTTTTCGCAAGCCTTATCGCGAGCGTTTCGCAGCAAGGATGGTATCCACCACAGTTTCCCGAGTCGCATGGGAAAACTTGGTGCCGAAGGGAAAACTTCGTCGTCGGCCCAACTTCAGAATTCGATCTTAATCACTTGTTCTCATATACTAGTACAAGGGTTCAACTGCCTCAAACTTCCGCTGCACTACTCAAAGCCTTTTACAACTGGGACTTAGTCTCTGGAAAGATCCTAAGGGCATTTCTCAGCCCAACAACTTCAAGCAAGGTTCTTGACTCTCTCCTTGAGTGCAGTCATTATAACTGGAAGTAGTAAATGCAATCCTTTTTTTGGAACTCTCAAATTGTGTTGCTTTTTGTTTATATTTTTCTCAATCGTTAGGCTTGAGGCTCCCCCCCCCCCCCCCCCCCCCCCCCTCCCGCTAGAGCTGGGGAAGCTGTGGCCTAATTTTGTCTTGATGAACTAGGCTTTTCGCTTCCCCCACTGAGCTGGGGAAGTGATTGCCTATTTTTGTCATCGACAAAAATATGCCACAACATATGATGGGTAGCGAAGGTATTCACCTTCTTTTTTCCCATCACTGTTTTTTTTTTGTTTTTTTTTTTTTTAGTGCAATAGGTACACGTATTTTACAGTTGTGTGTTACACCTAAACCATTTAGATATTTTTTTATCTTAAAAAAACTTGAAAAATAAACCTGCCCGATCGATTGCAATAGGTTGCTCCGCAACCCAAAAACAAAAAAAAATCAGCATAAAAGCACCATTACTATGGGCCTGGGTTGGACTAGTAGTGCCACCCTAGGCTGCGTGTCTCTTGCCAGGCGCTACTCCTTGTCTAGCCTAGGGGGTGTGTCAAACGTATTTGTTTATGTTATTATAGGCTAGATAGGCGCATGTTTCTTAGAGGGTATAACACACTAGCACAAAATCACCCTGTACTCTCCTTTCTAGTCATTGCGTTATTCTGAGAGAGGAGACCATTCACAAGATTCCCGATGCACGAGGTCAGTACCATGATACCTGCGCACTCCTTTCATATGCACCGACCTGCCCCATACTGGTCGTCGTAATTGTAGAAGACGGTGAAAGTAGGGGCTCATTGCAAGCTATGCAGAAAGCGCATACGATCTCCACAATATCATCGCCAAACCTGGAGTACCTTGCTATCGCCAAACCTTGCCTCCACTGCCAGAACGACACCGTTCACAGCATCAGGGACAGGCAAGGCCGGCAGCCTACTGCTGCCAGTGCACCCTGGAACCCATTCCTTTGGTTCTCCCCTCCTGAATCCTCCCCTCCTGACTCCCCCCCCCTGCCTCCAAAGCTGATACGGTGCCTTTTCTTTTTCTCAAAGGCTTGCTACCGCCAAACCTTGCCTGCACTGCCAGCACGGGCACCGTTCACTGCCGCAGGGACAGGCAGCATGCTGCTGCCAGACTCCTCCTCTCCTGACTTTCCCCACATCGATCCGCAGCTCCAACGGTGATTACACAACATTTCACTTTTCCTTGCTACCGCCAAACCTTCCCTCCACTGCCAGCACGACTCATGTTCCCTGCAGCCGGGACAGGCAGCCTGCTGCTGCCAGCGAAGCGTGGAATCATGGTGGTACTCCTCAGACTCCTCCCCCTCCTGACTCCCCCACATCATTCCGCTACCTCCCACGGCGATACACAGCATCGTACTTCTCCTTGCTACCGCCAAACCTTCCCTCCACTACCAGCACGGCTCATGTTCACTGCATTAGGCACAGGCAGCCTGCTGCTGCCAGTGAACTGTGGAATCATGGTGGTACTCCCCACAGACTCCTCCTCTCCTGACTCCCCCACATCGTTCCCCCCACTTCCCCAGGACACCCCGGACTTATAATTCTCATCCATGAACTCACTGCTCCCATCCAGCCCACCTTCTCTACCCCCTCCCCCTCCTCCCCCTCCCCCTCCTCCCCCTCCCCCTCCCCCTCTCCCTCCCCCTCCCCCGCCTCCGCCTCCGCCTCCTCCGCTTCCTGCTCTGCCCCCTCCTCCGCCTCCCCCCGAGCCTGCTTTGACAGGGCTTCGTGGGGAGCTGCATATGGAGGATCGTTCGGAGTTGAGCCGGGCTGAAGAAGCAGGAGAGGGGATGAGGCTGGGCGGATGTGTTGCCTGCTGCTTCTGTTGCTGGTTCTGCTGCGGCTGCTGTGACTGTTGCTGCTGCTGCTGAAGCTGCCTGCCTGAAGAGTGAATCAACCCACTCGGAATCTCTGATTGCCTCCTCAATGCTGTCGCTGCAGCCGCACTCCCTGCCCCAGCCCCTGCCCCTGCCCCTGATCCGACAATTCTACCTCCAGACATGCTTTCTCGCCCGCCTAAGCTCCTCACAGATGGATTGTCGGCTCGGGTGGGCGACAAGCAAGGGGCGCCTGGGGGCCCTGGAAACTGCTGGTTCATTGTAGGCTGCATGTCATGGAAGGAGTAGTCTAATGGTAGCTCAAGCGGATCTGTTAGTTTCGAGGATGAAAACTGAGGCAATGGGGGGTTCGAGGATATGTGAGCCTGGAGAGGGTTGGAGTAGTTTTGAAACTGCTGCTGCTGCTGGTTCTGCTGCTGGTGGTTCTGCTGATGTTGGTTTTGAGTGCGCGTGGGTGTGGTCCCCCGATTCGGACCCTGCTTAGTTGGGGTGCCTGCTGTACCCGCTAAGGAGTGACGCGCTGCTGCCCTTTGCCTAGCTGTGGATCCAGTCATGGTGCTTGTGATCTTATTCATCATCGCGAGCTGCTCCTCCAGCCTGGCATGGGATGGTTGGGGAAACGGAAGCGAATGGATGAGCATAGGGAGAGGATGCTGAGTGAAATGATCCGGACATGGTGTTGGTGATATTATTCACCATCTCAAGCTGCCCCTCCAGCCTGGCATGGGATACATTGATGGTTGCAAGGCGGATGGGTGCGTGGCCGGTGGGTGAGAAGTGGGTGATGAGAGGCGGGTGGGTGCGAGGCGGGTGGGTGAGAGGCGGGTGGGTGAGACGCGGGTGGGTGAGAGGCGGGTGGGTGAGAGGCGGGTGGGTGAGAGGCGGGTGGGTGAGAGGCGGGTGGGTGAGAGGCGGGTGGGTGAGACGCGGGTGGGTGAGACGCGGGTGGGTGAGAGGCGCGTGGGTGAGAGGCGGGTGGGTGAAAGGCGGGTGGGTGAGAGGCGGGTGGGTGAGAGGCGGGTGGGTGAGAGGCGGGTGGGTGAGAGGCGGGTGGGTGAGAGGCGGGTGGGTGAGAGGCGGGTGGGTGAGAGGCGGGTGGGTGCGAGGCGGGTGGGTGCGAGGCGGGTGGGTGCTAGGCGGGTGGGTGCGAGGCGGGTGGGTGCGAGGCGGTTGGGTGCGAGGCGGTTGGGTGCGAGGCGGGTGGGTGCGAGGTGGGTGGGTGCGAGGCGGGTGGGTGCGAGGCGGGTGGGTGCAAGGCGGGTGGGTGAGAGTCGGGTGGGTGAGAGGCGAGTGGGTGCGAGGCGGGTGGGTGAGAGGCGGGTGGGTGAGAGGCGGGTGGGTGCGAGGCGGGTGGGTGAGAGGCGGGTGGGTGTGAGGCGGGTGGGTGCGAGGCGGGTGGGTGCGAGGCGGGTGGGATACAGTCGTGGTATAGATCGCGATGCTGTGATTCCAGTACGTGCTGGAAGGGACCTCAGGCTTCAAATGCATCAGTACCCTGCTCTTACCTCGTCTTTTCCTGGTACAGCGCGATGCTGTGGTTCCAGTACGTGTCTCGTGACTTGCGCGCCGCAACCAGCTCCGCCTCCAGGTTCTCGTTCTCCCGCTTCAGCATCTCGCTCGCCGCCTCCGCCTCCTCCAGCCGCTCGCACAACGAGCTGCAGAAACCGCGGAGAAAACAGCACAAATACTTGAAAACTGAACGTAAGATACTCGGCTAACACTTATTCCTCGTTCTCCCGCTTCCGCATCTCGCTCGCCGCCTCTGCCTCCTCCAGCCGCTCGCACAACGAACTGGAAACAGATAGAAGGAAACGCACGAATTTTAATTTTTTGATGGTAAAAAAATATGAAAAAGAACGCGAATAAGCACGAAATGTTTATGTTGGGGACTTCAACCGATTCACGCAACGGGTTGCAGCCAACTCAGTCACCTGGATTCAACGGCCATGCCATCTCTATCTTTCATCAGAGAGTCTTTCTCCTGCGAAATCGCATCCACATCTTCCTCGAGCTCCCGGTTTTTGTGCATCAGCGCCGCCATATCCGCTTCTGAGAGCACGCGGTCCTCCTCCCTCATCGCCACCATGGCGGACCGTCTTCATTGTCGGACTCGTACCTCACCACCCCGTGTATCGCACAACCCACTCACCTTGACTCAACCGCCATCCCGTCTCGGTCTTTCATCAGAGAATCTTTCTCCTGCGAAATCGCCTCCACATCTTCCTCTAGTCTCCGGAGGACGTCCTCGAGCTCCCGGTTTTTGTGCATCAGTGCCGCCATATCCGCGTCCGAAAGTACGCGGTCCTCCTCTCTCACCGCCGCCATGGCCGACCGTGCCTCGCGCTCCTGCTGCAGCAGCTGCAGGAGACGCACCGACGCCTCCTTCTCGCGCTGAAGGCTCTCCTCGGTCATTGCGAGCTGACGGACAGACACGTAGGGATGTCAGAATGGTTTTCTCAGGCAATTTTAGAGTCGACTCAAACAGCAGCTGCAGGAGACGCACTGACGCCTCCTTCTCGCGCTGAAGGCTCTCCTCAGTCATAGCGAGCTGACGGAAAGTCAGACGGGAAATTCAGAATGGCTTTTTCTCATGCGTAAAATATCCACCATGGACTGTCTGGAACTTGAAGAATTTTGGACTTTAGGGAAGCAAATCATTAGCCTCACGCTATAATCACGCTTACCTGCGTTCTTCGCGAGGGTATCTCCTTACCCTGCTCCTTATTAGCGCACTCTAGCTGCTCCAGCTAGAACCGGGTTTATCTCCTAAGTCGCTAACTTTCTGATCACGCTTACCTGTGTTCTTAGCGACGATATTTCCTTCTCCTGCTCCTTATTTGCACTCTCTAGCTGCTCGACTCGAGACTCCAGCTCTAGAACCAGGTCCATCTCCTGAGTAGCGAAGGCCGCGTCGTCTAGCTTTCGCAAATACTCCATCGCCATCTTCGTTCTGACAAGACGCCTTATTATGGACCTATTAACCCGCTCAATGTATCGTAATTTCTGGCACCATGTGAGAAAGTAAATGCGAAAGCTCGAGGCTTAGATACAAAGTTAAGCACGATGCTTCCAAGGGAAACGCTATCAGCTGTTTTGTTCAGACTAGGAACACGAGCACTGGGGTGGAGCCCTAAAATGCTACGAATTAGTGAAGGGGGGTCGAAGTCCAACGGCAGAAGATAAGAAGTCGCCTTCACATTGCCGGAAGTCAAGCGAAACCTCAAGCAGAAAGTCTATCTACTACTTGTGATGACACTATAGCCTCAATCTCGGTCTTAGAGGATCTCAGATGTGAACGCAGAATGCTGGAACTGGAACTAAACACTACCATGCTTGGTCGTAGGACAGGCAATCATCAGCCTCGAATTCCCAACCCACCACTCAACCCACAACAGGGCCAAGGTCTTGCCTACCTAGGTGATACTGGAAGCTTGACTGCTGGACATCACCACCACACACCACCACTAAAAACAACGGATTACCACTTGCCGCCATGCTTTTTGCTGCTTGAAATTGGAGGTTGACGGGATGGCTTCTCTCGAAATTGACGCGCTTCGCGCCAGATGGTCCTGGTCGACAGGGACGCATCAGCTGAAACATCAACGGCTCGCAAAATACACGGCTCGGGCAACGGACAAGCCATCGGCCACATTTGTGGGAGCTTGCAATTGCTTCATAGCGAGTCTGCCGTGTTTTAGAAGATTGCAATAGAACTGAATGCACATAACAAAATACATGCAGCAAGTGTGCAACGACAATGCGCCAATGCTGTACAAACAACTCCTCCCTAAACCGTAGCTATCCCTTCTACAGTAGGCATTCTATCATCCCTTCTTTGTAGGTCGTCTTACATATGACTTATTTGGATCTTCTGCTCGCATGGCTGGAGGCTTGAGCTCACCCTTCGCCTTCTGCAGGTAGGGCAGGGCAGGACGTAGAGGGGCAAAAGAGAAAGGATGTGAGAGACAAGCCCAATTGATATCAAATGGGGAGAGGTAGACGGAAAGGTGGTGATGTCAGCGATGGTTTGAAGGGGTTGGCACAAACGTCACCTGACTAAAGAAGAAATGATGATTGGAGGGAAAAAAAAGCATATTGAAGGGTTAAAGCGAGGATCTCAAGAAGCGCAAAACCAAATCCAAAAGGTTTGGTTTCGGGTTGGCGAAATAAGCGGAAAAGGTAACAGAGCCCCTCCAACACCCCTCAACATGCCTCGCAATTTTCGCGACCAACCAAAACCAGACCCTTAGCGTTTGTTTTTTTCCTTCTTGAGATCCTCGCTTTAAGGAAATATGACACCTTTTGCAGCAGGTACAGATGTAACAGATGCACAGGAGCACATTGACGAATGACTTATGCATGAGAGCACTATAGTGCCTCTATGAAGGCATTATGCAGGTCAAACCGAGTCAACGAAACCATAGAGCATGGATGTAAGTGTATTATGAGCGCACCAATGCAGGAATGTACAGCAAAATGCACGAATGTATAAATCACCTTGTTCCCCTTCTTTTGAAAGTCTCTCCAGCTGCTGACCTGCCAATGGTAGCAGAAGCGACGATAAAGAAAGAACGAGAATAAATAAACGTTCATGGCAGGGAACATCAAATATTGGGATCGAGGCAAACAAATTAGTACAAGGAAAACAAGGGAGTGATGTCATGAGAGCTGCAGCAGATATTTTGGGAGTTGACATCCGCAGCGCCTGTGTCACGCTTCTTGAAACCACACTAGCGCCGCTCACCCTGGTCTCTCTGGTCTCCTCCCACTTCTGCGTGTGCTCCCTCTCCTTGAGGGTCTTCACCTTGCCTCCATTTTCAAAGCCAAACCAAGCCGCACTAACAACAACACTCATCCTGGTCTCTCTAGTCTCCTCCCACTTCTGCGTGTGCTCCCTCTCCTTTAGGGTCTTCACCTTCGTCTCCTCCCCCTTCTAAGCCAACTTAAAGCAGCACTAACAGCACCACTCACCCTGGTCTCTCTTGTCTCCTCCCACTTCTGTGTGTGCTCCCTCTCCTTGAGGGTCTTCACCTTCGTCTCCTCCTCCTTCTTAGCCAACTTAAAGTCACACTAACCGCACCACTCACCCTGGTCTCTCTTGTCTCCTCCCACTTCTGCGTGTGCTCCCTCTCCTTGAGGGTCTTCACCTTCGTCTCCTCCTCCTCCTCCTGAATCTTCACCTCCTCCTCCTTTATCTGCATCTCACACGGATACACATGCATGTACCACCCACATACACACACACACACGCACACACACACACACGCACGCGTGCACACACACACACACAGAGCCACATGCATACACTCACACACATGAATGCATACACTCACAAACATGCATGTATGCTCACATGCATGCATACACTCACTCACACACGTGCACGAACACACAAGAATACACACACATACATCCGCACATATGCATGCACACGCATACATCCGCACACATGCATGCACACACTTATACAGACAGGCCCACGCACGCACATATGGCCACACACAGAAACACACGAACCCACCCAACCCCAGGAGACACACTCATAATCGTGTCAAGAATGCTTCACACGAACCCACTCAACCAATCCAGAATCTACACAAAGCTTCTGGGTTTTCGAACCAACCACACACCCAAAAGCAAACTCCCGATAGCCGCAAAGGCAGCATCTCTAGCCCAAACTGTACCCTCTTGGAGAGCTTCCTCCGCCTCCATTCATTTGCAGTGAGCAACTCGCGGGCCTTGAGGCGCCATAGGTCTTTGAACTCCGCTGAGGCTAGAAATGTCACTTCCTGCAATCACAGGGAGGGGAGAAGTACTTAGGAGTGTTTGTACTAGAAGCTCACGAGCTTTCAGCCACCATAGGTCCTCGAACCCTGCTGAGGCAAGGAAGGCAGCTTCCTAGAATTACAGGGATGAGGGGGGGGGGGGGTACTGAAAAAGAGTTTGTACTAGAAGCTCACGAGCTTTCAGCCGCCATAGGTCCTTGAACCCTGCTGAAGCTAGAATAAACCATGCGTGAGGAGTCTATTTTTGAGGCGCCTCAAAAATAGACTCCTCAAGCTTTCAGCCGCCATAGGTCCTTGAACCTTGCTGAAGCCAGAAAGGCAACCTCCAGAGATTACGTGTACAAAAAGCAAGCGCAAAAAGCTTCAAGATACGTCTATGAATAGCCAATGCATGAAGGAAAAATTGCTTTTTAAGAAATGGGATGGGAACAAGAACCATTGCGTAATGAGTGCATCTTTGAGTCGACTCAAAAATTTGTGTGATGGGATGGGAACCAGAACCATCGCGTAATGAGTCCATTTTTGAGTCGACTCAAAAAATTGCGAGATGGGATGGGAACAAGAACCATCGCCACCCCCCAGCCCATCCCTGGTCTCACCTCCTCTGCCTTGGATACCCCATTTGGTGCTGGCTTCCCTTGCCTCTCCTTCTTCCGCTTCCTCTTGTGCTCAAATGGAAAACGAGTGTCTAGAGAACAAGGCTTCTTCCCAAACTCCTACGCCAGCCTTCGTCTCACCTCCCAACTCATCCCTTGGTCTCACCTCCTCTGCCTTGGATATTCCGTCTGGTGCGGGCTTTCCTTGCCTCTCTTTCTTCAGCTTCCTCTTGCGCTCTCTCAACACATCCTCTGGTGGAAGAATGTGGGGCGGATGGGGATGGATGGATGGATGGATGGATGGATGGATGGGGATGGATGGATGGAGGGAGGGAAGAGGTGCATCTTGAGTTGCGCTGCATCGAGATGGGGCTTGCCTTGCCTCTTCGTCTTCAGCTTCGTCTTGTGTTCTTTTAGCGCATCCTCTCGTGGAAGACATATCAGAAGACATGTTTGGCCTTGAGAGGGGCAGGAGGCAGGAGGCAGGAGGCAGGAGGCAAGAGCCAAGAAGCAAGAGGCAAGAAGCAAGAGGCAAGAAGCAAGAGGCAAGAAGCAAGAGGCAAGAAGCAAGAGGCAAGAAGCAAGAGGCAAGAGGCTGAAACGCACACCTCGTTTCCAGCCGTTTCAGTGAGCCAGGTGTGGAAGGAATCGGAAAGGAACAAAGAGGAGAACGCGTTTACCTTTGGCAGCTGCAAATTGTGATGTCAAGTAGCCCCACTCGTCTGAGTTCAGCAGCTTCTCCTGCGCCTTGGCCACCACTGGGCGTCGGTGGGGTGGGGTGTGTGGGAAAATTGGAGGGGTATGAATTAAGAAAGGGGGAAAGTTCAACGAGACGCAAGGGGATGCGATGTCAAGTAGCAAGGGGATGTGATGTCAAGTAGCAAGGGGATGTGATGTCAAGTAGCAAGGGGATGCGATGTCAAGTAGCAAGGGGATGTGATGTCAAGTAGCAAGGGGATGCGATGTCAAGTAGCAAGGGGATGCGATGTCAAGTAGCAACACTCGTCTGAATTCAGCAGCTTCTCCTGCGCCTTGGCCACCACTGGGCGTCGGTGGGGTGTGTGGGAAAATTGGAGGGGTATGAGTGAAGAGAGGGGGAAAGTTCAACGAGACGCAAGGGGATGTGATGTCAAGTAGCAACCCTCGTCTGAATTCAGCAGCTTCTCCTGCGCCTTGGCCACCACTGGGTGGGGGTCGGTGAGAAGAGAGCAACGCACACGCAATGGAGAGACGGGCAGTGAAGTGAGGGGGACGGGCAGTGAAGAGAGGGGAAACAGTCAGCACGGGACAACGCCAAGCCATGTAGGCCCACTCGTCTGAGCTCAGGAGCTTCTCTTCCACTGTGCCTTGGCGACTACTGGGGACGAGAAGTTATAGACCCATGGGCAGTGCAGGGAAGAAAAGCAGTCACCAAGGCGAGACATCGTCCCATCCCACTCGTCTGAGCTCAGGAGCTTCGCTTTTCCTGTGCATTGGCGACCACTGGGGGTGGGTGTGAGAAGAGAGGGAAAGCAGCGAAAGGGATACTCGGCTGTTCTAAAAGTAGCTCGGATAGTGAATCAGGAGTTAATATTATCGACGATTGTGCTTTTCGTAGAGGGTGAGAGGAGAGGGAAAGCGGAGAGGATCCGATGCAAGGAAGGTGAGTAGGGTTTTTATTTTATTGATGATTGTACTTCTCGTTTAGAAGATGATATGATTACCATCGAATGCTTCTCGCGCTTGTGGGTGCTTGCACTTGTCTGGATGAATCATCAGAGACACCTGGAGGATGGGCCAAGATGGGGAAGGGAGACACAGAAAAGTAGAGGTTTTTTTTTTTTTTTTTTTTTAGGGCGCTTGCAGAGAGTGTTTGCACTAGTCAGGATGAATTATCAGAGAAACCTGGAAGACGGTTCAAGGTGAGAAGACAAAGAAGAGTTGTGACTCTCAGCGAAGAAGAAAATTATGTCCAGGGGCTACAAGAGACGTTTTGCATTGAGATAAGCTGGGAAAAAAGAAGACATGTGCTCTATAGAATGGGAGCAGGTGTAAGGGAAGGGGAGGGGAAGAGGAGGAAGTGGAAGGAAATATGAGAAACATCAGAACTGTCCTGTCCAGTGTACCTTGTTCTGTTGAGGAGGGGAAGATGAGGAGGGGAGGTGTACCTTGCGGTATTGCTTCTTCACGTCTTCCACTTTGGCGTCAAAGGGCAGGTTTAGTTGCTCAAACGGATTCAGCTTGAAACAGGCCAGCACTCTGAGGGAGGAAAGGGGAAAGTAAGTCCTTGTGAGATTTCTGAGGAGTCTCGAAAATCTGTTTAAATGGATTTAGCTTGAAACAGGCCAGGAATCTGAGCATCGAGGGGAGGGGGAAAATAAGTGTTGCGTGAAATTTTAGGAAAATCTCGAAAATCTGTTCAAACGGATTCAGCTTGAAGCAGGCCAGGATTCTGAGGGTTGACGGGCGGGGGAGAAGATGGAACCGTTTGAGGAAATGAAGGGGGAAGAGGGGGGGAGAGGGGGGGGGGGGGGGGGGGAGGAACGAGGGGAGAGGGGGGTAAGAGGGGGTTGGGTGAGTGGGGAAGGAGGGTGGGAAAGGAGAGTTCATGCTCACGGCTAACATCAGCTGGCGTGTCCCGATTCTCTCTGATTGCACTCGTCACCGCTCTGCATCTTACCTGTTGACCTCGTTATCCCTCTCCACCGCTCCAACCTCCGCGAAGAACTCTCGCAGCAGTGCATCGTCAGACGCGCCACTGCTCTCCGCCATCTGCTTGCAACCCCACTGATTCCTCGTAAGTGAAACGCTTAACGAAATCAGCTAAACCCCTTGCAAGCGAAAGGCTTAGCGTCTAGTAGAGGAAACGCCTATCTGGCCTGATGAGAAAAACAGACTTCGTGCGTAGCTACTTGACACGCCTGTATTTAGAGGCCTGCGAATGTGATACACCGATCACATACCGATTAAGAGTTCCAGACAGGAGAGTAATGAAGTACGAACCTATTAATCGGTTATGATTCTAGTGAGAACGTAGCCCTAAGCTGCCATCTCACGCGGCACGTTAGGGCGCTACTACACCTCTGTTGAACTGGAGACTGCAGCAGAGGACCAGGATGTTCCCGAAATTTCGTTTCAAGATACCGCGATGTATTGAGAATGCAGAATTTAGAAAACTTCCAAGAAATATCTATAAGCCTCACTCTCTATCTTAACCTTTCCTACTCTATGGAAAGCCCTTCCTAGGAGTGGTACAATATGTAGAATGATCCTTACAAACGGAATAATTTGTTTTACGAGCGATTAAAGATGCTGCATTAGCCACGACGATACAGTTGTCAGTATGGGGATTACGGTAGTAGAGATCAAATGGCTTGGTAGAAAACGTTAGTAGAGCCGCCCACGACACTTCTTGGCTCCACAATGGCACGGGCAACCAGGGCCATCAACGAGGCTGTAATGGTAGTCATACGACAACTCCTCTCCTGCTGCTATCTGCAAACATATGGCAACCATTCGGTTAAAAGTAGCACTTCCAACATACGTCAGAAGCACAGTTACCGTAGTTACAGCACAGCCGCTATGCAGCACAGCCGCTACCCACATCTCGAGAAAGCATTTTAGCCCAATCTATGCCAGCTGGCAATCCAATCTCCAATCACAATCATATCGCACATGCTCATTACAATCACATGAGAGGACTCACGTCTCGAGCAGCAAACAGCCCAATGTGCGCCAGCCGGCAGTCCTTGCTCTCCACAAACAATACCATACATACACGACTAGCTATTACCACATCCAACACAGGCACACGCCCTCGTTATAATCACATCATAGCACTCACATCTCGAGCAGCAAACAGGCCAATGTGCGCCAGCTGGCAGTCCATGCTCTCCACAAGAACCGAGTAGGTCACGAGGTTGGGGTCGCAGCTGGGAGAACGGGGGGAAGGGGAGGAGGGGGGGAGGGGGAGGGGGGGAGGGAGAAGCGAGACAGGGCAGGCTGCAGATGTCGGGAGATTCTGGACCATGGGGCGCGCAGCAGGCCATGGCTCTCCCCACAAGCACTGAGTGGGTCACGAGGTTGGGATCCCAGCTGGGAGAAGGGAGGGGGGGGTAGGAAGAAACGGGAGAGGGAGACAGGGCAGGCTGCAGATGTTGACAGAGTCTGGACCATGGGGCGCGCAGCAGGCCCTGGCTCTCCCCACAAGCACCGAGCAGGTCACGAGGTTGGGATCCCAGCTGGGAGAAGGGTCACAGCTGGGAGACGGACGGGGGGGAAGAGGGGTGTGGGGAGGGGGTGGGACAGGGAAGAGAGTGACAGGGCGGCCTGCAGATGTTGGTAGAGTCTGTAAGTAGTGCATGCCGCAAACCAATGCATACTCTTCACAAGAACTAAGTATCTCACTAGGTTGGGCCCATGGCTGGGGAGGAGCGGAGGGAGCGGAGGGAGCGGAGGGAGGGGAGGGAGGAGAGGGAGGGGAGGGAGGGGAGGAGTGGGGAAAGTGGGCAAGCCGCAATCCCATTACCATCGCACACCACACAAGTGTCTGTTACTACCGCACGCACCTCTCCAGAACGATTCGCACCTGTCTGTACCGTTTGCAGTGCGCACCTGTGGTTGATGAATCTCGCAATGTTCCCTTGCCGAGTGGCATCAATCACAAAGTGCTGCTGCTGCAGCTGCTGCTGCTGCTGCTGCTGCCTATCCTCCAGGTTAACCTCAGCCCCTTCCTCCTCCTCCTCCCCCTCCTTCACCTCCTCTTCCCCCGCCCATTCCGGCTGCCCTCTTCTCCTCAGCCTAGCAGACCCACCAGTCAGCTCACCCTGCTGCTGTGCTTCCCTTATCCGTTCAGAGTTCCTTGACCCAAGCCTCCTCTCGCTTGATAGTCCCCCCCTCGAGCCACGCATAGTCATGCCACGCACAGTCACGCTACGAGCAGTCATGCCATGGGAGCTAGAAGCTCCATGCTGCCTTGCCACACCGCTACCTTCACTGAAACTTTGCCTTGTAGCGACAGAAGCGTCACCGAAACTTCGCCTGGTCACAGTGCCGGAACTGAGAGGCACAGCTGCACGGGGCGCATCCATGTGTGCGTCTATGTCATACAGATACGAGCCGATCTCAGGGTACTTCTCAGAGCGCCTGCTGGCCTCCCTGGAGTCCACCACCTCTCCTATGTACTCGCACACAAAGGCTCCCTGCTTTAACGGCTCTGATGCTCGCACTGCCCACCCCTGCATGTGATGACATGGGGGAATGCAGCAGTATGGGGAAATGCAGCAGTATGGGGGGGTATAGATGGAAGGGAGCACGACTCTCAAGGTACCTGCGCCTGCTGGCCTCTCTGGAGTCCACCACCTCTCTCTCCAATGTACTCGCGCACGACAAAGGCAGCCCGCTTTAATGGCTCTCATGCTCGCACCGCCCACCCCTGCATGTGGTGGCTGGCACCAAAGGGGATTGGTGGGGAGGTGTGTGTGTGTATGCGGCCGGGGAATCGGCAACCTTTAAGTGTAATAAAAAGGTATGAAGCCTCGCTGCTATCCACCACCTCTGCCATGTAAAGATATAGATAAAGATAAAGGTCGGTTGAGTCGACTCAAAAGACACAACGGCAACCCAACGCCTTGCTGCTATCCACCACCTCCACTGTGTAAAGATAAAGGTAAAGAGAGAATGCGACGGCATAAAGATATTGCAACCGAATGAAAAGAGTGCAATGGCATACAACATGCCCTAAAAAACTGTACACAAAAGCAAGAGTAAACATTGTAGCTCAAGTGAAGGGGTGAGCCTTGTGCCGGTAAAGGTAGAGCTCGAGTCTATATTTGAGGGACTCCTCTAAAGCTGACCTTGAGCGGGGTGAGATAGAGCTCGAGTCTTTACTTGAGGGACACCTCTAAGCTGACCTTGTGCGGGGTGAGGAAGAGCTCGAGGCGCTGCCGAACGCCCCGCTGCAACACACGGTTGGGACACTTGGCGGCGTCGCACACACAGTGAGAATTGCACTCGTACACCAGAAGCCCCCTCTGCATGAAACCAAACAGACCAGGGGTGAGAAAAAGAGCAGGCGCAATCACTACATTGGCACAATCACTTTTTTCCCCCCCCTCGCCTTTTCCTTTCCGTGAAAAACATTTGTCAGGTTAACTGTGGAATGCCATGACTGCTTGCTGACACTATGGTGCTTTGGAACACTGCAAATGAAGCTTCCGAGGGATTCACACCTGCCCATGTACTCGCATGCATTCATTCATTCATGCATTCATTCATTCATTCATTCATTCATTCATTCATTCATTCATTCATTCATTCATTCATTCATTCATTCATTCATTCATTCATTCATTCATTCATTCATTCATTCATTCATTCATTCATTCATTCATTCATTCATTCATTCATGCATTCATTCATTCATTCATTCATGCATTCATTCATTCATTCATTCATTCATTCATTCATTCATTCATTCATTCATTCATTCATTCATTCATTCATTCATTCATTCATTCATTCATTCATTCATTCATTCATTCATTCATGCATTCATTCATTCATTCATTCATTCATGCATTCATGCATTCATGGACTCCATACCTCCAGCACAATTCTGCCGCTGCTGTCGTAGGCAAAGCGGCCAGCCATGGATTCCCCATCCACGTCACAGCCATTTCCCTCCGTGTCTTGCGTGAAGTGGTGCACATGCTCGCATGTAGTGGGGTCGCAGGTGGACCCCTGGCAGTGACAGCCCAGCTGCCAGCTCTGGTGGTGGGGATAAGGGTTCGGGGTTGTATGGAGGCAAGTGGGAGAAAAAGGGGTCACTATGCATGTCACAGCCATTTTCCTCTGTGTCTTGCGTGAAGTGGTGCACATGCTCGCATGTAGTGGGGTCGCAGGTGGACCCCTGGCAGTGGCACCCAAGCTGCAAGCTCTGGTAAGGATTAGGGTTTGGGGTTATAGGATGGAGGCACGACGAGGAAGCAGAAGGGTCACCATTCACATCACAGCCATGTCCCTCTGTGTCGTGCTGCGTGCATCATGTGCTGCACCTGCTTTTGAGTCGACTAAAAAGCATTCACATCACAACCCTGGCCCTTTGTGTCCTGTCTCGCACCAAGCGCTGCACATGCTTTTGAGTCGACTCAAGAGCCTACACATCACAACCAGACCAGGGCAAGTTGGTTCTTTAAAATTCTCAAAAACCACCTTAAAAGCATTCCCATCACAACCATGGCCCTCTGCGTCTTGTCGTGCATCAAGTGCTGCACATGCTTGCATCCTCCAGTCACATCTGGAGGCTGCTGGAGCCATTGAAATGAAAGATCGGGGATAAGGACTGACAACAAACACAAGTTTGGGGTTGCTTTTGAGTGGAATCAAAACCACTGGGGACATTTCTGTTGGAATAGTGCACTTGTAGTTTCCTCAAAGTGCCTCAAGAAACACGAAAAAAGGGGGAAAAGGGGGGGGGGGGGGGGGGGGGGGGGGGGGGGGGGGGGGGGGAAACAGGGGGAAAAAAAGAGAGTAGCACATCAAACGTGGAACCCACCACATGGGTTGGCCCCCCCAATGGGTGCTACGCAAAGTGCTAATGAGGCGCGTCTAACCCAAACTTCCCCCCCCCCAAAGCAAGCACGCTCAATAACCAATTCGACTAGCCCCCCCCAAAGCAAGCACTCACAGTGAGATCGAGCCCGAGCTCAGGGTCAAAGCACCGCTGCGTGACGTACTCAAACTCCCTCCACCGCTCCCACTCCACCTCAGCCTCCCCTTCCCTCTCCATGTCATCCTTTCCCTTTTCCACGTCATCATCACGACCTCCCCTCCCTTTCTCCCTCACCCCATCACTTCCCTCCCCTACAACCCTCCTCTGCCCTCTCCGTAACTCATCCATCACTGCCCCATCCACCACGCATGGTATCGGCACGTGCTCTCTGCCCCCACTCAGATCGGCACACACCACCAGCGGCTCTCTCTGCCCGTGCTCCCTCTGAGTCAGCCGAAGCTTCTTTCTCTGGTACACGATAACATCAGCCTCGCCTGTAGCAGCCATAGCAGCAGTAGCAACTGCAGCAGCCGTAGCACCTCTATCACCCCTGGTTCTCGCACATCCAGTTATAACACCACTGGTCCTAGCAGCTGCAGCTCTAGACAGGGCTGCTGCTGCTGCTCCTGCTGCTCCAGCTGCTGCAGCTGCTGCTTGCGCTGTTGCAACCACTGCTGCTGACCCAACTGCTCTAGCACAATCTGTAATTCTTCTCCTTTTTCCCCTCCTTTCCCTCACACCGACGCCCTCAACCCCCCCTCCCTCACCCTCCCCTTCCTCATCCACCTCATCCTCCATTCCCCATACATCCGCCCTTCTCCTCTTCCCCCTTGTATGAGCCCTTTCAAGAGACTCTCGCCCAACGTTTCTCCGACCTTCTGAAACACGAATCCGTGTCCTCGAGGTGTCCGCATTCTCATCTTCCTGCCACTCATTCTCTTCCTCTTGCCACTCCTCACCATCACCACCATCAACATTATCATCATCATTATCATCATCATTATCATCATCATTATCATCATCATTATCATCATCATTATCATCACCATCATCACCATAACCATCATTATGGTTATACTCCTCCTCCTCCACACCTCCCTCCCTGCTCCCTTCCCTCAGCACCTTCTCCCTCCATCTCTCCCAGTCCTCTCTCCACCAATCCCCACCGTCCATTTTGCCTCGCTGGCGCTCCACCATTGGCTGAAGAGCGTCCAGCCGAGCAGACACAAGCTGCAGCAGCTTCAGTAGGCCCGGGTTCATCAGAGGGCTAGCAACAGCAGAAGCATTAGCAGCGGCAGAAGCAGCAGCAGTAGCTGAAGAAACAGCAGCGGCAATGCTCTGACTAGTGGCAATCAAAGGTTCAGCAGTATCAGACAGGATAGCTGAGGTCAAATGGCCAGCAGCAGTGGTTACATTAGCAGTAGTTAGATTAGCAGTGGTTAGATTAGCAGTGGTTAGATTGGCAGTGGTTAGAGGATTGGCAGCAAATGAAGGACTAGCACCAGCTGCTGCGTTGGAAGTACCACAACTTGTAGCAGCAGCACCAGCAGCACCAGCATCAGCACCAGCATTGGCAGCACCAGCAGCAGTGCCTGCAGCACCAGCTTGAGCCACCAGCCTATCTATCCTCTCAGACAGACACAAGAGAGCAGGTCTGTAGCCAGGTACAAAACCACCCTCCCTCGCATCCCCCTCCCCCACACCACCCTCCCCCGCTCCACTCGTTCGCAATCCGCCCTCCCTCATGATATCACCCAGTGCTGCCCCTCCGCCCGCCAGGGCCCCCCACACCCCCACGTCTCTCTCAACAAAAGCCTGAAAGAGCCGTCTGACCTGGCACTCCAACTCCGTAGCTTTGCCGTCAGTGCCATCACACACACCGTGGGCTATGTCACCATCACCATCACCATCACCATTGCCATCGATGAACTGATTCTCCGCATTGCCATTGCCATCAGGATTCTTCTCCTTGCGAGGCGCAGAGCCATCCTTGTGAAAACCATCCTCATCGTTCTCCTCACCGTTCTCCTCGTCATTGTAATACTCAGCATCCACATCCCCATAGTATATACCCTCTGCCGGTTTCCCTTGCTGCCACCGCTGCTGCTGCTGCTGCCTAGCGTCTCCTTGCTGCTGCTGCTGCTGCTGCTGCTGCCTAGCGTCTCCTTGCTGCTGCTGCTGCTGCCTGTGCACTTGGCGGCGCCTATGGAACTGACAGAGCGTATTGGGAGGCAGCACGGGCACCTGACACGGATCACCTCTCTTCGTCACCGCACCGCACAGCACTAGCTCTCCCTGCTGCTGCCACTTTTGCTGCAGGTGCTGCGGCTGCTTCTGCTGCAGGCGCTGCTGCTGCTGCTGCTGCTTGTGCTGTTGCTCTGGCTGCAGCACGCGTTCTCGTGCATGCTGGCGCTTGTGGAACTGACAGAGCGTATTGGGAGGCAGCACGGGCACTTGACACGGCCCGCCTCTCTTCGTCACGCCACAGCACAGCAAGATCTCCCTGCCTCTCCTCTGCTGAAAGTAGCTCCTCTTGTATTCAAAAGCTGCTCCTGCTCCTCCTACTGCTCCTCCTCCGGTCCTTTCCTTTCCTGCTCCTCCTCCTCCTCCCCCTCCTCCTCCTCCCCCTCCTCCTCCTCCTCCTCCTCCCCCTCCTCCTCCTGCTCGCTTGCTGGCCCACCTTCCCTCCCTGCTTCTCTTCTTGCATTCTCTGAAGCTCCACATTTCACCCTCCTCCCCTGCATCCCCATCCTGCGTTCCGCGGTGCCTCCGCATACCATGCCGTCCTGACTTTCCCTGACTTCCCTGACTTCCCTGCTCATCTCCCCCAATGCTCCACATGCTGTCTCCCTCCTCCTCCTCCTCGTCGTCCTCCTCACCATCATCCGCCTGCTGCTCTTTCACTGATTCCTCCTTCTCTTCCAATCTCTCCTCTTGTTTCACACTTTCATCCTCTGGTTCAACACTTTGCTCCACACCCTGTTCCCTCCTACTGGCACGCCTGCCACTACGAGCACCAGCCACTCTTAACAAGAGATCTTCAGAAACTTCCAACTCGCCCAAATCCACCTCTCCATCTCTCAAGACTACTGCCTCTCCTCCCTCCCCTCCATCTGCTCCTCCTGTCTCCCCTCCTTTCCCCACCCTTGCTGCCCCTTGCACTCCCTGCCCAACTTCTCCTCTTCCCACTTCTCCTTCTCCTTCCCCAGCGTGAGCACTGCAGAACCACTCCCCGGGCCTAGCTTTCCGCGGGCATTTCCTGCCGCTACTTAGCAAACCAAAACACTTAACCACCCCACTGCCAACTACCCCATCTGGCAAACCGGCTGATGGTAACCCGTCTGCTGCTTCTACTCTTGCTGCTACTCCTGCTGCCGCTCCTGCTGTTGCTCCTACTCCTGCTCCTCCCATATCAGCATGGCAAGTATTAGCAGCAGCAGCATCTATACCAGCAGGATCACCACCCTCAATCACAGGAGATGTGGCATCAGCAGCAGTGATACCAACATCACCACCACCACCAACCACAGCAAAAGGAAGGAACCCGAAAATGCCTCCATTTTTGAACCAGATTCTATCGCCGTGCCTGCCAGGCGTGCCCTTGACCACACACGCTGCCACGGCGGCGAGCAGTGGACGCTTGAAGGCCGCCCACGCTGCTGCCGGGTGGGGCGGCAGGGAGACCCTCCAGAGAACAGACACATGCTCCCAGAGTATGGCAGAGGAAAGCTCCTGGTGGGCGGGAGGGGGGGGTGGGGGTGGGGGGGGGAGGGAGAAGGGGAGAGGGAGCAGCGGGTGCTTGAAGGCCGCCTGCGCTGCTGCTGGGTGGGGGGGCAGGGAGACCCTCCAGAGCACAGACACATGCGACCAAAGGATAGCTGAGGAGAGCTCCTGGTGGGCAGGCAGGGAGGGGGGGTTAGAGGGAGCAATGCAGTGCTTGATTGCCAGCCGCACTGCTCTAAGGTGGGGCGGTCGGTAGCGACACCTAGTTTTGAGGCGCCTCAAAACTAGACTCTAAGGTGGGGCGGTCGGTCGCGACACCTGCGGACAGAGTATAGCTAAGGAGAGGAAGAGAGGAAGAGAGGAAGAGAGGAAGAGAGGAAGAGAGAGAGCGAGAGAGAGAGAGAGCCTAAGTCCCTTCCTCTCTATTTAAGGCCCTTCCCTGCCTCATTTCCCCTGTTTAGTTTTCAGTTATTCTTTCTCCTACCCTTGGTGGCGAGAGAGAGGAGAGAGAGAGCGAGAGAGAGAGAGAGAGCCTAAGTCCCTTCCTCTCTATTTAAGGCCCTTCCCTGCCTCATTTCCCCTGTTTAGTTTTCAGTTATTCTTTCTCCTACCCTTGGTGGCGGCTCGCGTCGGCGGCCGAAGGCCGCCGACGCTCGCAGCGCGGCCTTCGGCCGCGCGGGAGGGGGTGGCAAGTCCCACATTCCAATATACCGCAACAAGTACAACGCATGCTTGATGGAGCCCCCCCAACTCTAGACTAGGACCTGCAACGCGTATCCTACGTTGGCCAACAGGCTCACATGGAGCAACTGATACGCCGGGCAGGGGCGCTCCGACTGCAGGACTCACCGCCCGGCCGCACCTACTCCCGCCGCTCTGCTATTCCGCGACAGCCGCCAGCCCAGCCTCCTCCAGCAATACGGCCTGGTACGACAACAGGACCTGCAGCGTGGACACGGCGCCAGCTACAAGCCCTGCAGCTGACGCCGCGTCTATGCTCGCCGACACCTGGCGGAGAGCGGCGAGCAGGTGAGGGTCCGTGCCTGTTCCCCGGGCGGGCCCGGGCCACGCGCGTGCGGCCTCCACAGCGAGATCTATGGCTGCTTCCATGCAGCCCTGAAGGGGGAAGTACGGGGCCATTGACCGGCCCCCTGAGCTCCCCAACGCGGAGCTCGCCGCCGCCAGCATCGTCAACAGTATCTCAGTCCCCCTCCGAGCGTGCCCAAGGCGATGAAGTATGGCAGCTGGGACCAATATCTCCGCGGGAGCCACCGTCGGCGGCCCCCCTGTCGGCGGGCTCCTTCGTGTCGCCACCCCGGTCCGACGACCACGACGGGGAGACCGCTCCCCTGGTGACTCCGCGCCCCCCGTCTCCGCTGCTTCTGCCCCCGCCTCTACACCCCGTGGGGATGGCGCCCGTCGCCGAGGGGGAACAAACGGACCGACCACACCCCCTCCGCGGTAGAGCCCCACCTGGGGCTCAGACCACTCCGCCGCCCCGGCCCATGACGAGGGGTGATGCCACTCCGGGAGCGTATCGGCGGATGACGCGGGGCTGCCTAACTGGGGCGCTGGCAGGAACGGATGGCGCAAGTCATAGTACCCGAGGGGGGAGAGGACCGGCGCGTGCGAGGACGGCGGAGGCGCGACATGGTGAAGGACATTATACGGGCCCCCTGGCGGCACATGCTGTCGCGGAGGCGCCGGCGCAGATGGGAGCGGAACTGCCGGAGGTGGCGCCGGGAATTGTGCGCTCGACTGCTCCAACCCACGCGCCATTGCGGGACAGGGTTGCACGGGCCGCGACATCGGGGGAACCGCACCAACAAAAGCGGGCTGGACGGGGAGGGGCGGTGGAAGGACTCGAGGAGGAGATGGAGGCTGCGTGGGAAGGGGGAGCCGTCGGGGGGGCTCCTGCTGCGGGGGCGTTGGGAGCAGCCCAGCGCTGGCCCGCTCGAGTATCCCCTCCAGCGTTGCGGCGGTCCGCGCCAGCCGCCTCTCCAGCGCACTCCCCCTCCGCCCCCGACGCGTGCCAGCGCGCCCCAAGGGGCCATTTGGCGCATGCTGCTGTTGCGGGAGGGGCCGAGACGGCAGCTCAGGGGGGGGGCGTGGACCCGCCGCACGTGATACAGCAGGCGGCGACAACGCAGCACGAGGACACTGGCGTTCCTCTGCCACCGCAGCCCGCCCTTCCAACCGAGGTGGCGTCGCCGCACGCACCCGATCGGGGGACGCTGGCGCGCTCGTGGACGGCGCTGGGAGCCCGCGTGCCCACCGCCGGTCAGACAGGGGAGGGGAGCTCGACCGACCTCGGGGGAGGACGTTTTCCCCCGAACTCTCGCGATCGACGGAGCGCTCTCTTCGCGCGCGATCAGCCCGGTCGGCCATCCGACTCGCCGATGAGCCGAAGAGCGGGCACAGCGAGGCAGCGGGGCGATCGCCCGCCTACACCACGCTCCACACCACGGGGCAGCGCCACGCGGAGGGGACGCGGCGGAGGCAGGGATGGCGGAACCAGGGGCCGTGGTGGTGGCGGGCACGGGGGCGGGCGCGCACGGACAGGCGATCTGGCACGCGACGGTGGCCCGCTGAACGGCTTCCAGCAGGCTGCGGATCGGGCTTTAAGGGACATGGGACTGCGGGAGGCAACTGATGAGGAAGAAAGACGAGACGGTACATATATCCAGGAACCGCACATGGATTCTACCACCGACGATTCCAGTGGCACACTCGGGGAAAGGGCACCGAGGCGGGTAGGGAGTGAGATTCGGAACCCCTCTCCCAGATCCACGGGCCACGGACATATGGGATCACAATCTGCCCGCCCGCTGGACAGTCCCTCCCAGGCAGCCAGGCAACTATCCCCGGAAGAACTGGCCCACGATCCGTCACGATTTGCTCAACTGGCCAGTTGGGACATCGCAGTGCTGTGCGATAGTCGCCAGCCCCCTCTTTCAAGGCGACTGCCCCCCTCTATTCGCCAGCTGTTCGCGCTGGCCCTGCTGACGCCCCTCCTTTTCCTCACGAAAAATCCAACTTCAATCGGGGGGTGGCGTTTGTTACTTTTTCTCCCACGACTAACTCTTCGCATGTCATCGCCCAAACGCCCAGATTGGCCTGCGATGGAAACCCGTCTGCAGCAGTTCCTCGCCGGCCAGTGGGACACCCTCTACCAGTCAGCTGCGGCAGCTGTCACTCTGCCTGCGCCCCCTCGCCATGTTCGTGACGACCTCGAGAAAATCTCCCGAGCCGAGGGGCTGGTGCGACGAGGAAGCCTTCGCCGCGCCCTACTGGCGCTCCAGTCTACCCCAGTCAGCGAGTCAACCCCGGAGGTCCTTGACTCGCTGAAGTCAAAACACCCGAGACCGTTGACAGAGGACCTCACGTGGCCCTCCCTGGACGACATCACCCCGCCGGCGCTCGACTTCGCCGATTTCATTCGCCTACTTTCGCGAAGTGAAAATGGGGTCGGAGCCGGCCCTTCGGGGATGACATTTGAACACCTGCGCGACGCCTCGCTCACCAATCCGCACGTCGCAAAGCTCCTGCACGAAATTGTGCAGCTGCTCCTCGCCGGTAACCTGCCCCAGGAGGTCAGCGAGTTGTTAACTGCGTCCCGCCTGTTAGCCCTTCGCAAACCTGATGGCGGGACACGCCCCATCGCCATAGGGGAATGTCTCCACCGCCTTACTGCCAAATCCGCCCTCATGTCGTCAACCCAGCCCGCACAAGATTATTTTCTGCCACTTCAGTTCGGCGTTGCAATTCGGAGCGGCGGAGAGGCAATTATCCATGCCACCCGGGCTTTCACCTCCGTACGTCCCCGCTCCGTGATTGTCCAAGTGGACCTCACAAACGCGTTTAACAGCGTCGAGCGAGGGGCGATCATCACCGCCATTGACGGCTCGCCCCTTCGATCGCTGCTTCCATTTATCCGTTTTTCGTACGGCACCCCGTCGCTCCTGTACCTCGATGACGGGTTCGCCAGCCCACCACTCCTGAGTGCACGGGGCGTCCGACAAGGGGACCCCATGGGTCCCTTGCTCTTTGCTGCCGCCATCCACCCCGCGCTTCAATCAACAGCCACCGCCCACCCTGACGTCCTCTGTCTAGCCTACGCGGACGACGTAACGTTCGTGGGAGAACCGGCCGCCTGCACAGCGGCCTTCCACCACTTCACGGGCGCCGTGGGGGCCATTGGCCTTACACATAACCCCTCGAAGTGTGGGGCGTGGTCCCCCACTCCTCCCCCACCCGACGCCCTTCCCCCGGACGTCCCCTTCCACAACGAGGGACTACGGGTGCTGGGGAGTTTTGTCGGGACAGCGGAGGGCTCAGCTGCTTTTCTCCGTTCCCAGCTGGCCTCGCTGGCCGAGCCACTCCCCACCATCGCCACCATGGACCCCCAGTCAGCCTCTCTCCTCCTTACGCGCTGCATCTCGCGGCGGGTCAGCTACTTGACCCGCACCACGCCCCTGGACTTCCTCCCACACTCCGAGTGGTCGGAGTGGGGTCGGGGGCTCTTTCACACCCTCCTCGGCGCATGCAACCTCCAACTTCCTCGGGGGGAAGCCGAACGCGTGCGCACCTGGGCTCAGGCCTCGCTTCCACCCTCGCTTGGCGGGCTGGGCCTCTCCGACCCCGCCGTCGAAGGCCCGGCGGCCTTCCTAACCAGCGTCGCCCAGGCACAGCACCTCCTCGCCGCCTTACCATTCGCAGCCGAAGGGCCCCTGGCGTCCGCACTGCCCCCCCTCACCCCCCCCTTCTCCGGCCCCCATCACCTCCATACCTGGCTGGCAAGGTGTGAGGCGGCCATGCCGTCCCATGCACTGGAACTCCTGCGCTCCGAACGCCAGGAGCCCTCTGGCACCCCACTCCAGCACCGACTCTCCCTTGAGGTCCACGCCGCCCGATATGCAGACCAGGTGACGGCGTCCCGCGAGATGGAGCTGAACCCCAGTTCTGGCCACACACAGCGCCTGTTCTCTCTGGCGGGTTACGGGGCAGGGGATTGGCTCCACGCCATCCCCATCTTCCCTTCTCTCCGCCTCGGACCTCCGCACTTTGCCATCGCCCTCGCCTTCCGCCTCGGCCTCCCTTTCCCAGCCCCACGCAATTGCAACTGCGCCGACGAGACCGAGATACTTGACCCCCGGCTGCCCAACCACCTCTTCCGGTGCGGCACGGGCCATGGCCGGACAGACACGCACAACGCACTCCGCGACGAGTGCATCCGTATGGCGCGGGACGCGGGGCTCATTGTCACAAAAGAGACCACTATCTACAGTCCGGTGGACGGTCACAAGGCGGACCTAGCCATGCGCGACAGGGTCTCCGGCGCCGTGTGGATCTGTGACGTCACCGTCACGGATCCCATCAGCACCCGGGACCCGCACGCACGCAAGGGGCGGGGTTATATGGCCCGGGAACAAGCCGATAAAAAGATTGACCATTACCGTAACCGCGCACCTTATGTCGGTTTCTTCCCCTTGGCCGTGGAGACCTATGGCTGCCCCTGCGCCGAGGTCCCCAGCTTCCTGAAACTCCTCGCGGACATGGGAGCTAGACGGCTGTTCAACGCGGACCCAAGCTCCTACCAAGCGGCGAAGCTCCTGCATCAGTTCCGCCAGCGCTGGTCCGTCACACTCCAGCGGGCGCAGGCCCTGGCCTACCTCGGGAAAATCAACGAGGCTGCCCTGGCGGAGAATCCCCCCGTGGGTGCTCCCGGAGCCGAAATGGGCCTAGGGGACTGTTTTGCCATAGCTGAGCCCCTCGGGGAGCTCTAGTCTTCCAGCCACCCACCCCCTGCGTGCACGCACCTTTCATAGTCTCCGGAGTTGGCCCACATGCCTAGTATGTACAACGTCTTTAATCAATACAAGGACCGCTTAAGAGAGGAAGAGAGGAAGAGAGGAAGAGAGGACGAGTGGAAGAGAGGAAGAGAGGAAGAGAGGAAGAGAGGAAGAGAGGACAGGAAGAGGGGAAGAGGGGAAGAGAGGAAGAGAGGAAGACAGGAAGAGAGGAAGAGAGGAAGAGAGGAAGAGAGGAAGAGAGGAAGAGAGGAAGAGAGGAAGAGAGGAAGAGAGGAAGAGAGGACGAGTGGAAGAGAGGAAGAGAGGAAGAGAGGAAGAGAGGAGAGGAAGAGGGGAAGAGGGGAAGAGAGGAAGAGAGGAAGAGAGGAAGAGAGGAAGAGAGGAAGAGAGGAAGAGAGGAAGAGAGGAAGAGAGGAAGAGAGGACGAGAGGAAGAGAGGAAGAGAGGAAGAGAGGAAGAGAGGAAGAGAGGAAGAGAGGAAGAGAGGAGAGGAAGAGGGGAAGAGGGGAAGAGAGGAAGAGAGGAAGAGAGGAAGAGAGGAAGAGAGGAAGAGAGGAAGAGAGGAAGAGAGGAAGAGAGGAAGAGAGGAAGAGAGGAAGAGAGGAAGAGAGGAAGAGAGGAAGAGAGGAAGAGAGGAAGAGAGGAAGAGAGGAAGAGAGGAAGTGAGGAAGAGAGGAAGAGAGGTGCTGGTAGGGAGAGACGAGGAGAGGGGAGGAGCAGAAGGAAGGAAGAGCAGCGGGTGCTTGAATCCCTGCTCCTGCTGCTGCTGCTGCTGCTGCTGGGTGTGGGGATAGCGTAGATTTGAGACGTCTCAAAGACTACATTTCAATCACATGGGCGTGGGGACAGAGAAACCTGTCAGAGCACAGAGACACACGGACGGCCACAGGACAGCCAAGGAGAGCTCCTGGTGGGGAGTGAGGGGAGAAGAAGGTGGGATGGGTTTGCCTTGCAGAAGGGATCCTGGTGGGAAGTGAGGGGAGAGGTCATAACGTACCTGATTCTACTCTGGGGTTACCCGAGCGCGTGGGGTTACCTGAGCGCATGCATGCACTGCAGGTCTTTTGAGGCTGCTTTTGAGTCGACTCAAAAGGTCACCCGAGCGCGTGCATGCACTGCAGGTCTTTTGAGGCTGCTTTTGAGTCGACTCAAAAGGTTACCCGAGCGCGTGCATGCACTGCAGGTCTTTTGAGGCTGCTTTTGATTCGACTCAAAAGGTTACCCGAGCGCGTGCATGCACTGCAGGTCTTTTGAGGCTGCTTTTGAGTCGACTCAAAAGGTTACCCGAGCGCGTGCATGCACTGCAGGTCTTTTGAGGCTGCTTTTGAGTCGACTCAAAAGGTTACCCGAGCGCGTGCATGCACTGCAGGTCTTTTGAGGCTGCTTTTGAGTCGATTCAAAAGGTTACCCGAGCGCGTGCATGCACTGCAGGTGCTGAGCAGGGCCCCAGGCTAGAAGTATCTCGCCAGGAAGCTCCGTAAAAGGCACCGCGGAATTATTTGAGAGTCTACTCAGGGGTTACCTGGATGCGTGCATGCACTGCCGGTGCTGAGCTGGCAGTGATGCATTCGGTGGTCCAGCTGGCGTAGCGAGATGAGAGCCAATCAGGATGCAGCAGCTGTGGTAGGATGATCTGAAGGGCAGGAGGCAGGCAGGGAGGGAGGGGCGGAGGGAGGGAGGGAGGGAGGGAGGGAGGGAGGGAGGGAGGGAGGGAGGGAGGGAGGGAGGGAGGGAGGGAGGGAGGGAGGGAGGGAGGGAGGGAGGGAGGGAGGGAGGGAGGGAGGGAGGGGCGGAGGGAGGGAGGCAGGGAGGGAGGGAGGCAGGGAGGGAGGGAGGGAGGGAGGGGCGGAGGGAGGGAGTGTAGGGCAGGGAAGGGAAGGGTGGAAGAAGCAATGGTCAACAACACCAGGAGGAGCAGAGTGAAAAGACACGGCCTGAGAAGACAACGGTGTGATGCGGCGGTGCAAAGACATGCTTCCTTCGCATTTTCCAGAACCAAGTCACTTGCCTGGCAGAGGTCACTGAGCAGTGCACCCTGCTCCTCAAACTACACTGCACTGTACACTGTATAGTATGCGCTGACAAATCTCTAAAAGCACAAATCACCTGCCTGGCAGAGGTCACTGAGCAGCGCGCCCTGCTCCTCAAACGACTCGGCACTGGCACCCCTTTCAGCGAAGCGAGACCAGAAAACCACAGAGCGAGCCGGCAGCGCCACGGCCTAGAGAGGGAGAGGAAAAGGGGGGGGGGGGGGGGGGGGGGGGGAGGGGAGGGGGGGTAAAGGCGAGGATAGAGAGAAAAATGAGGGAAAAGAGGTTGAAGCACCTCAGGCAACAGTTATGAACAGACCAGAAGGACTCAGAGAGCGAGCAGGCAGGACAGACAGAGGGGGGGGCTTTTGGGTCAACTCAAAAGTCACCTTAGAGAGCGAGCAGGCAGTGCTGACACAGGGGTGAAGGGACTGGGGATGGGCGGTGAAAGACCAGCGAACCAAGTGTACCTCCAATAGGTGTCAACCTGACAAGACAAGATTATCTTTAACGGGACCTGGTTGCTCAACATGAGTATGACTTTTGAGTCGACTCAAAAGTCACCTGGTAGCTCAACATGAGTATGACTTTTGAGTCGACTGAAAAGTCACCTGGTAGCTCAACATGAGTATTTCCGTTGCCCCAGTCAGCAGCCCAACCCTCCTCCTGACACTCAGTTCCCTCCTCCCCCCCTCCCTCCTCCCTCCTCCACTCCCTCGCTACCTCTGCCCTGCTATCACAGCAGCGAGCTGTAGCCTGCTTTTGAGAATTCTAAAAAACAAATCACAGCAGCGAGCTGTAGCCTGTACCCTCCAATGGGGCCTGGCCACTGTCAGCAGCCCAACTTGCTCCATCAAACTCAGTATCCACGCCCTTCTTACCTCTGTCTTGCCATTACTGCTGTGAGCTGTATGTATGTACCTACCTCCAATGGGACCTGGTCGCTCAGATCGAGTGTTTCAGTCGCCACTGTGAGTAGCCCAACCCTCCTCATAAGACTTAGAATCTGCTCCCGTCCTGCTTCGCTCCTCCCCCCACTCCTCTTTGGTGATTCTTGAATCTCTTTTCCTTCTCTCTCGCCCTCACCCCTTCCTCCCTCTCCCCCCTCTCCTCCCTCTCCTCCCTCTCCTCCCTCTCCCCCCTCTCCCCCCTCTCCTCCCTCTCCTCCCTCTCGCCCCTCTCCTCCCTCTCCTCCCTCTCCTCCCTCTCGCCCCTCTCGCCCCTCTCGCCCCTCTCGCCCCTCTCGCCCCTCTCGCCCCTCTCGGCCCTCTCGCCCCTCTCGGCCCTCTCGGCCCTCTCGGCCCTCTCGCCCCTCGCCCCTGTCACGCTCAGTTTCACCAGCCCTTTGCCCACTTCGTTCCCCGCCTCCAGTGCCCCTTTCCTCCGCCGCTTGCCTGACCGGCTTCGCCCAATCAGGAAGCAGCTTCGCCTCCCTCCCACGCCCAGCTGACGTGGCAGCAGCAGCTGCAGCACAACCACCGCTACCACCACTACCAACCCCTTCCCCCTCCCCCCCACCCGTTCCCTCACATATGGAGACTAACTCCCTAAGAACGGGTCTTGCAGAGGGGCCTAGTGGGTCGGGCTTAACCCACACGGGGAGAAGGGAGTCTGGGGGGCACCAGACAAAGGTGGCGTCGCGGGGAAGGAATACACAGACATAAGCGGACGGGGGGAGATGTGGACGGGTGCCATATACTGGTGCTGTGTCATACGCTTGAGCCGATACTGGTGCTGTGTCATACGCTTGAGCCGATACTGGTGATGTGTCATACGCTTGAGCCGATACTGGTGCTGCGCCATGCGCTTGAGCGGATACTGGTGCTGTGGCAGCAGCAGGTTCAGGCGAAGGGGGGAGGGGAGTTGCAGCAGCAGCAGTAACGGAGCCAGGGGGCGGAACATTCGGAGAGAGGCCAGGCGGAAGCGGAGGAGTGGCATGAGGTGGGGGGGGAGGAGAAGGGGAAAGTGGGTGAGGATGGGTAGAAGGAGGGCTGATGCAGGAGGTGGTAGGAGGAGTAACAAGGGGCGCGCCAGGAGTGGTGGTGAGAGCATCAGGAGCGTTGCTCGGGGCACCAGGGGCGATGTTCAGAGCACCAGGAGCGTTATTCAGGGCACCAGGGGCGATGCTCAAAGCACCAGGAGCGTTGTTCGGGCCACCAGGAGCGATTTTCAGAGCACCAGGAGCATCAGGAGTGGGTGTGGAGCAGTTGAGAGGTGATGCAACGATCGCCGCATGCCATTGAGAGCGTTTCTGAAGGGGGGGGGGGGGGGGGAGGGGGAGGAAGGGGGGAGGGGGAGGAAGGGGGGAGGGGGAGGAAGGGGGGAGGGGGGGGGGGAAACGGGAAGAGCAAAAGGGAAGAAAGGGAAGCAAGCATACGAAGTGGGTCAGACAAGGCGAGTAGAAGGATTGAAGCGAGGCTAAAGGGTGTGGCGTCAAAATGGAGGCTAGGAGCGGCGAAGACCAAAATGGCATAATTGGACGGAAACAATGGGCTGTAACATTTTAGGATAGAGCTTGGAAGCTAGGAGAGCAGTTTCCAGGGAATTTTATCTCCTGGCTTCTTGGAAACAAGATAGGAGACAGTCATGTGAGGGGGGAGGTGAAGACGTATGAGAGACGCTTGATATTATGGTGTGTTTTAATCACCGAAACACTTGATATTATGGTATGTACTGGGAGAATCCGAAACAGCCGAAGTAGGAAGATGTACGAATGCACACGCAATTAGTGCTTGTAACTAAGTATGAGGTAAAGACAGCACCATTGGCTATCAGCACTATGACCAGGTCGCACCTTAGCCCAAACGATAGTGCCCTCTGGTTGTTCGGTTATATGGCGACTAGAATCACCCATCCACCATGGAACCGCTGATTTCGCCATCTAGTAAAATGCGCGTCCTAGGGTTAAAACAGGAGAATATACCATATAGGCTAATGGAGAAATTTCCAACCAAGATTGCGTTAGTCCTCCGGATTTATATTTACCAAGCACTTTGAAGATGCCTAAGCGTACGAACTGACGCGAGAATTGCGCGCAAGTAGGACGGATCGCTAGTGCCGACAGACTAAAGCTTAGCGATAGAATTACTAACTAATAGCTGTAGCTATGGGCATGCAGGAACCTTAGTGCTTGTTCGTTTGTTGTGAAACCGATGGGGATAGGCGGACTTGGAGCGCAGCAAATCATTGCCGAGTAAACGCAAATGAGTACCTACCCTAAGCCAGCATGCTTGCATACTTGCATTTCCACTTGGCAAAAAAGAGTCTAGAACATGCAAATGTGAAGGACATACTGCACTAGAAAATAGCCACCATTTTTCAATGGTGCAGTCGCTCAAATAAATAGGAACCGGCATGCTCCAAGATTGGTCATGCAACCTCAATGCAAACATTGTGGTTAAAGACGACATGCTTCGGTTACATCACTTGATCAAGGGGCACGTGAAGTGTAGGCTTGCATACTTCCCGTATTGCATTTACCGGTACAATTGGCAAAAATAAAAAGCCGCCCTCACACTACCACTGCTCACAAGTTGTCGAGATTATCCTGTGTTTGCCGATCACCAATCGTTCCCTCGACTAACCCTTCGCTAGATACAATTCCGAAGGGTGGCATGAAACCCGTGTCCAGCAGGTAGTGGCTAGGATCACTATGCACCCCGCTTGTTGCAGGAACATGGGCTGAGTCAGCTGTGACATTAGCTGACTCAGCCACAGCGGATGGTGAATCAGTCGGAGTATCGTGGGCTGAGTCAGTCACACAACGGGCGGAATCGGCTTGAGCTCTTGCTGAGTCAGGTGGTTCCTCAAAGATAGGAGCTGCATCAATCCCAGCCGCTGGATCAAGAGCAGCTGGCAGATCAACAGATCGAGATGCAGCAATAGCAGGTCGATCATTGGTTGCAGATTGATCAACTTCTTGTGCACCACACTCTTCAATGTCCGCTGCATTATTGTCATGTCTGCTGATGTGCCCTGATCTGTCATCAACTGCCCTGTCATCCGTTGTGACGTCATCAGTTAGGGAGGGATGCGATGACGTGGCATCTACGTCCAGGAGTGTGCTACAGCACGAGAAATTTGCTGTGCCAGCCGGAAAACGTTGTCGCTGCTGCTGAACCTGCTGTTTCTCCTGCTGGCCGTGGTGCTTCCGCTGCTGGCTCAAGGGAGAGATGCTGACGTGGCGAAAAGGGCCACCAACGAAGGCCTGCTCTGCTGAAAATACCTCTGTTGATCTTCCAGCCGTCGCTTTCACAGCGGACCTGGAGCCACTGCGACCAGCACTCAAATTGAGCAAGAAGCTGTTGCCTCCATGTACTCGAGCCGCAGGCTCTTCAGTTTCCATGTCAGAGCCGCCGCACATGGCATGTGCAGGAATGCGCTTCTGAGTCGACTCAAAAGCACGAATTGCAGACTCTTGGATGTTAAGATCTGAGGCGCCCAGCATGGCATGTGCAGGAGGAGAGGGCACAGTGGGCATGGGCTGCGCTGTATGGCACGCCTCGCCAGCCGTGGCTGCTGCTGTTGCAGAATGAGTGTCGGCCGACGGTTGGAGAAGGGGCAGCCATTGATGCGTGGCAGGGTGCACGGGCGAGTGCACCGCATGCATGTGCTGTACGGTGTGATATGCCTCGCCAGGTGCTGTTGCTGCTGCTGCTGCTGCACGATGGCCGTCCGTGGATGGGCGGCCGGGGTGGTGCATGGGCGGCTGGGGTGCTGCATGCACGCGAGAGCGCACAGGAGAGTGCACCACGTGCATGTGCTGTATCGTGTGATACGCCTCGCCAGCTGTCACCGCAGAGTGGTGCGTGGAGCCTTCTGGCACGGGGATGTCGAGAACAACTGGCCGCCACCAGTACAGGGGGTACCTGGTAATTGGGGGGGGGGGGAGAGAAAGGGGGAAGGAGTGGGAAAGTGAGAAGGTATGTGAGTGAGCATGGGGAGTGGAGCCCTCTGCCACGGTTATGTCGAGAAAAACAGGCCACCACCAGCACAGAAGGTACCTGCGGTGGGAAAGGGTGTGACCTGCTGGGAGTCCTGCTGGGAGTCCCGATCAAGACTCCCAGCAGCACCTGGGTGAGCACAAAGAGGTCGTGGCCGCATAAGGATGGGATATTTTGAGACCCCTTAACAAATCCACTTACTGCCGGGCAATATTGTTGATGAAGAGAGCGACTGTGAGCATGATGAGCACTCCAAGCAGCACCGGAGTGAGCACAAAGAACCTGTGGCATTGCAGGGACGGTGTACCCCAGCGAACACCTGAACACCTGAACCTCATCACTTACTGTCTGGCAATATTGTTGATGAAGAGAGCGACTGTGAGCATGATGAGCACCCCAAGGAGCACCGGAGTGAGCACAAAGAGACCATGGCAGCGCAGGGAAGGCGGCGACATCACGGCAATGAGTGCCGAGGCACCTCCTGGTGGATGCACAATGCGCAGCAGCTGCATGGCTGGGAGGAGACGGGAGGGAGCGGAGGGGGGAAGGGGGGGATCGGGGAGAGCAGGAGCAGCACTGGAGTGAGCACAAAGAGGCCGTGGCAGCGCAGGGACGGGGGCGACATGACAGCAATGAGGGCTGAGGCAACTCCCGGGGGGATGGACGATAGGGAGTAATTGCATGGCTGGGAGGGGGAGGGGGGGGGAGGGAGGGGGGAGAAATTGTGGGGTGAGGGGGTTTGGGTAGGTAGGTGGAGTAACGGAAGTGGAGGTTGCAGCGAGAAAGCTACAGAGAAAACACGTGAATGAACCTGGGCCGACATGTCTCAGACAGCTCGATGCGAATAGGACAAACCAACATACCCACTATGGATAACGAAACTGCAAGCCCGCATTGTAGCCAGAGCCAGGACGTGTTGGGGAATGCGAGTCCGCCTATAGAGAAGATCTCCGCTATAAACACTCCAATAATAGCAGAAACTCCACTCCCTAAGATGACGTTGCGGGGTTGCGAGAGAGGCGAGTCTATTGTCCCAAAAATGAGCACCGCTGTGGCGCCAAACGAGCCTATCATAAACGAGGCTACGGCTTCCTGCTGCTGCGGCTGTCCGTTTTCACTGCTGCCACTGCTGCTGCTGGTGCTGCTGGTGCTGCTGGTGCTACCACTGCCGTTCGTTTGGGGGCTCAGAGTCTGCTGCATGCTGGTGTTGAACGCGAGAAACGCACACAGAGATATACCTGCGGTGATTGTGAGTAAGGGACGGGGGGTATAAAGGGGAAGAAGGGTGCGGTGCGGTGCGAGGGTAAGAGAGGTGGGGGACGGAACCATGACAACAGGCACCACGTCTGTCTCCAGAATTCGAATGGAAGTAGTAACTTCATAAGCAGCTATCCAAATAAGCGTATCTTCAAACAGTCATACGGGGCGGAAACACCAGAGAGAGATTTTGGGAAAAAAACAGTGATGAAGGGAAGGGATGCACGCACCCGTGAACGAGGCGACGAAGGACCAGAAGACGACAATAAAGCTGGGGTACGCGGGGAAGAGACCCTCCCCAATCCCGCGGAACTTGCGCAAATACCCCCGCAGCCACCTTGGCGGAAGCAGAAACGGGGCCGCCTGCCATCTCCGCGGGAGCAGCAGGCGCACCCCCTTTCCGCTACCTTTTCCGCCCGAGCCTCCGCGCTTATTGGCATCACTCTGCAGAGAGCCTTTTCGGGGAAGCTCGCCGCCTTGACGAAACGGCGATTGGCCAGGCGAAGCTGGTAACCCAATTCCGGATACCCGACCACCATCTAGCTCGCAAGGAGACGACTCGGCAGGGTCGACGGGGAGCCTTATGTCGAGGACAGCGGCCCCGGCCCCCGGGCCGTCATGATGATCCGACGTGGAAACATGATTCACTGTTATTGCGTAAGCAGTATCTACAGTAGAGGTGCTTAACGGGTGACTCGTTAACGGGGACGGATTCGACCCCATGGCAGAGGCAAGGGGTTGCTTGGAGTGGGGAATTTCTCTGACAGAGGAATGAGCGGAGTTGGAAGAACCACCGGGAGAGAGCTTGGTCAACGAAGAGGCGGGAGACGAGGAGGATTGGTCTAGACACGTCAGGCCTGGGAAGGAAAGAGGGGGAGGAGGAGAGCGACGAGCCGTGCCGCGGGGGGACAATGCCGTTGAGGTTGAACCAGGGTGGTGCACGGCGTCAGATGGGTCGACGGCTACTAGATGAGGTTTCGCGCAGACGCTGACGGAAGCCAAGGACGCGTTATAAGACATGCCGTTGTGAGCACATAACTAGCGCATTCGGCCGGAGGTTGCGTACTTGTTCAGGAGCACGAGCTAGAGTCCACAGTGCATGAATCCCTAGCAAGCTCCACACGCTAGCACTGTGGACTCTAGCTCAAGCACTGTGGACTCGAGCTGGAGCTAAGGAGTTCAAATCCCTAGCAAGCTCCCCACGCTAGCTTGAGCTTACACTTGCCAGGAGCTTGTTAGGCTAACAATTGAGAACTCGAACTGTCTCGTTGGTAACGAATTTCTCGAAAGCTTGGAAGTACAGTAGCAGGAAAGGCACGCCAAGCTGAACGAGTCAGACATTCAACAGGGACGTAAACAGGTGGCTCGTGCGGACGCGAAAGGCCGGCGTTCGATCAGGGGTGATTGCGATGGGTGACAGTGTGACGGCAGGAATGATGCAGGAGCAATAAGACGCGGAAAATAAGACGCTGCCTTTAGAAGTTTCTGCGCGAACCGGCGCTGTAAGCTCAGGCTATCCGACGTTCTCCGCCAGACGTAAGGACAACGACGGGCTTGTAGAAACTGACCTTTCGGAAGGCAGACACTACTAAGTAGTGACACTTGCGGGGGAAATACTTTTGTGGTGTGCAAGGCAAGAGGCGAAGCGGAGCCAGCGAGGAACCTATCAACTGTCGCGGACACGGGGGAGCTTGAGATAAGCAGGAGCAGCAGCAGCAACGCGGCTGCGAGTGCGATACGGCAACATCGAGAGGCGGCCATGGAGGGCTGAATGATGACAACGATGCCAGCAGGAGGGTGAAACAGAAGATACCCAAGTGAAGGAAGGAGGAAGAGAAACGAGATCCCCATTTTGTTGCGAATTGTTGGGCTGTGTCCAAATCCATAAACTATGTCCGGAAAATGCGATTTGCTTGTATAGCCGCATGTTTGTGCCCATGTAAAGCCTTATCCGGGCAGCAGATGAAAGTATTGGGCAGGGAATGAAGTTGGTGTTTTGGCTGGTTTCCATATTGCCGAAGGGGCAACAACCGCCGCATGCAGTAGAGTGGCTCTCCCGCCATATGGGGGGGCATATGAAAATATCGGAGCCATGTGGTGAAAAAGCACGACTCTTCATTAACGGGCTGAGCCAAGCCACTCAGCTTTTGGCTCTTCCCAACTGAAACAGACACAATTCAACGACTCACGTGAAACAATCGAGGCTGTACCCTAGATAACTCTGTCAATAATTTTAAAGTTACGTTTTCCATATCGTTCGCTTCGACAACCCAATAGAGATTCGGAGCACACCGAAACGAGTTACCAAAACCTACGTGGCAACTGTCTAACAGCCAATCAAGAACCAGCTAACCACGTAGCGGATGAGGAACGCAAGTCAATGCTGACCACAAAGCCCCAACTCTGATGAGCATGTGTGATTCAATCGAGCGTTCAGGTTCTGCGGGACTCACAAGCCATATGTATATAGGCACCCACCTAATGTCACGGCAAGTTTGACAAGCGGCTCTAGGAACCAGCCTATTCGTAGCCTAGCCTAGTGCCAGGCTTGGAAGTCTCAATAGTGTGACTACTGCCAGCCACTCCTCTCCACCGCTTTATCTTGAGCGCGAGATTCGCGTAGTCAACTCGTCGGCGCAGAGTTGTTTTGGTTGTCGCGAGAGACACATAAATCAGGATTTGCCACGTCAGCGCGTCAGCTCAGGGATTGCCGCCTCCCCGAATTCATAGCCATGGCTCTCTCTTCTGTGGCCACTGTCTCTCTCCCTGGGTCGTTGAACCAATCCCTGGCAACAAATGGCCGGCTTTCATCGGCAAAAAGCGTAGTGTCGCAGCCCCTCGGTACACGTTATCCTTGCTCAACTGACGATTCGGTGACCCGGCGTTCAGTAGCGGTGAAGGCTCTCTTTGGCTGGGGCAAGCCCAAGGTTCGTGAATCTGGAAATATTATTCATGTTGGGGAATCAGTAATGTGGACTCCTTTTGCCTGTGGGGAACGGTTCTTCATCCCGCATTTCCTTTTCCGTCATTTTCCTTCAGCATTGTGTTTACGTTCGTTCCGGTTTCCGTCAGTCCCCCTCGACATTTTGTTCAACGCGTCTCACACTCCGTCAACTTCCCGTCGGCATTGTGTCGCGCATTGTCTGTTGTCCCCCGCTCCCTGCCTTTCCTTTCCAGGCCGATCCGCCCTCCAAGTCCCCCCCGACATTCTGTTGAACGCATCTCACACTCCGTCAACTTCCCCGTCGGCGATCGGCGTTGTGTTGCGCATTGTCTGTTGTCCCCCGCTCCCTGCCTCTCCTTTCCAGGCCGATCCGCCCTCCAAGTCCCCCCCGAAGAAGTCACCTCCGGCTAAGGGAAAGGTGTCCAGGGCATCTTGCAGCACGTGCAGGGGCACAGGAGGCGTGGACTGCCCCATCTGCAAGGTAAGGAAGTCAGGAATTTACAATCTCGCAAGATACCGGCTCGACCTAGTGCAGTGCAGACGGCTAAGGGAGAGAGAGGTAGCATTGACGCCATGCAGCACGTGCAGAGGCACAGGAGGCGTGCACTGCTCCATCTGCAAAGTACTGTGTTTTTGTAGCGTTTGAATAACCTAAGGAGATATAGGTACACGAAAAGTTGTATTTGAATGCGACAGCCTCTCCTTCCCCCTTTGCTCAAGTTGATTCTGATCAGACTCCTCTGAGAAGCGCCTCTGGTTTCATGAAATGCGAAGCTAAATTCCGTTTGGTGGCTGTACTGGCAGGGGACGGGGAAGAGCAAAACCAAGGGCAACATGCTCGAGAGATGGAAGTAAGCCTGCCTGCATTTACCTTGTGATGATGATTGCCCAACAACCACGCCTTTCTCCCGTTTCTCCTCTCTGCTTTCCGTGTGTAATGAGTCTATTGTTGAGTCGACTCAAAAATAGACTCACTACACACGGATTGCCCAACCACCACGCCTTTCTGCCGTTTCTCCCCTCCCCTTTCCCCCCTCCCTCCCTGTCACCCTCTCCCCACAACGCCCCATCCGCACCCCCCTCTTTCTTCTGCCCCCTCCTCTGCCCCCCTCTCGCCCCCTCCACCTCGCCCGCCTTTCCTCTCTCCCCCTCCACCTCGCCCGCCTTTCCTCTCTCCCCCTCCACCTCGCCCGCCTTTCCTCTCTCCCCCTCCACCTCGCCCGCCTTTCCTCTCTCCCCCTCCACCTCGCCCGCCTTTCCTCTCTCCCCCTCCACCTCGCCCGCCTTTCCTCTCTCCCCCTCCACCTCCCCTGCCTTTCCTCCCCCCCCCGGCCTCGCCCGCATTTCCTCTCCCCCACTTCATCTCGCCCGCCTTTCCTCTCCCCCCCACCACCTCACCCGCGTTTCCTCTCTCCCCCTCCACCTCGCCCGCCTTTCCTCTCTTCCCCTCCACCTCGCCCGCCTTTCCTCTCCCCCCCTCTACCTCGCCCGCCTTTCCTCTCCCCCCCTCCACCTCGCCCGCCTTTCCTCTCTCTCCCTCCACCTCGCCCGCCTTTCCTCTCTCTCCCTCCACCTCGCCCGACTTTCCTCTCTCCCCCTCCGCCTCTCCCCCCTGCCTCGACCCCCACCTGCTTTCTTCTCCCTCCTGCCACGTTCCCTCCTCCACCTGCGGACTTCCACCAACTTTCTGGGGGGAGACTTGAGATGCTGCATTCAGCCTCCTCTACCCTCTTCCCATCCATCCTTCAGGAGGAGTCTGTAGTCTTGAAATGATTTCATCGCCTGCCCGACATTATGGTGTTGGGGGTGGGCCCATCGTTATCAGCGTTATTAGCAGCATTACGCCTCTCTATGGGAGTTTAGATACTGGGTTTTATGCATCCTCTGTGTCTGTTAGCAGCAGGAGGTGAGCCAGCCCGACATGACATACCTTTACCCTTTCGACCAACCCCTTCCACCACCCCCCTCCACTCCTGCTTCTACTCTTCCCTCCCTGTGTGGCATTGCCTGTGTATACATGCACATGGTGAGCAGGTGCTACAAGTGCCAGGGTTTTGGGCTGGTCAGCTGCCCCAACTGTGGGTCAGGAGGGCTGACCCCTGAGCAACGGGGCGAGCGATGATCGTAGGAGCTATATGGTACACGAGTTGAAACTTTTATTGCTACAAATGTCAGGGTTTCGCTTTTCGGCCTGGTCGGCTGCCTGAACTGTGGGTCTGGTCTGGAGGGTTCACCCACGAGCAACGGGGCGAGCGATGATTGTACCGTAGGACCTATATGCCCATGTTTTGGCCTGATGCCCCTGTCATGGGGTAGAATGACGCAGCAAGGCATGCTGCCGGACCAGCCAATGCTGCTTCAGCAAGGAATGGTGATGCAAAATCAAGGCATGCTGCCAAGCATGCCACCCCCACTCCCTCAAGGGCTGTTGCTGCTGCTGACACTGCTGCTGCTGCCGACGCCAGTGCTGCATCTCACCTCATGAGTCATGGCCTCCTTTCTCCCCTCGTGGTGGCGGGAGAGTCATGAAGTCACAACCAGTCCTAACCATTGGGACAAGGGATGTCACCAAGAGGGTTAGGCTCCATATATCCACCTTCCCCGGGGAAAGCCTCCCCAGTACCCTCCCCAGAGGTAGAGAGAGGATCGATAGGGTTATCCCAGTGTCACGACAGGGAGCGTCTGCCAAAGGCAGTGTCAAGGGGGCCAAAGGGGGGAGATGGTCGGCAGATGGGGGAGCACGGGCAGCAGGGGCAGAAGCCGCTGTGCTGCCAGGCAACGAGAGGGCGAGTTTTGGCACAAGGGGGGCGTTGTCGTGTTGAGCAAGGCACGACGGGCTTCTGGCATGCATGAGCGGGAGCAAGGCAGAAGGGAAAGGCGGAAACGAGGGGGTGATGGGCAGTAAGGGGATGGGCAGCTAGAAGATGGGTAGAGAGAGGATTGGACGGGAAGTTTTCTCTCCCCCCCCCCCCTCCTCTGTCAAACATATTTATATATGTAATAATAGGCTAGATAGGTGCATGCTCTTAGAGGGTACAACCACTTTTACAAAATCAACATGTATGCCTCATTCTATTCAACTTTTCTACTCTGAGATGGTATCACCCGCTAGGTTAGGTCCTCCCCGCCCACCCGCGCTTCCGCTCTCGTCCTAGGCCTAGCCGCCCGCTCCTAGCCGCCCCTTAGCGCCCCGTCGGCCCCGTACGCCCCCCCCCCCCCCCCCCCCCCCCCCCCCTTTGGCCCATTAACGCCCCGTTAGCGCCCCGTTAGCGCCCCGTCGGCCCCCTCTGGCCCTTTAGCGCCCGTCGGCCCCGTTCGCGCCCCGCCGGCCCGTAAGCGCCCTACCGGCCCCGCTAGCGCCCCGTAGGCCCCGTGCGCCCCTCTGGCCCTGCTCGCTTCGCCGACCCGTTCGCGCCCCGCCGGCCCGTTAGCCCCTTGACGGCCCCGTTCGCGCCCCGTCGGCCCCGTGCGCCCCTCTGGCCCCGCTTGCCCCACCGGCCAGTTAGCGCCCCGCCGGGCCGTTAGCGCCTTGCCGGCCCCGTCCTCGCCCCGTCGGCCCCGTGCGCCCCTCTGGCCCCGCTCGCCCCACCGGCCCGTTAGCGCCCCGTCAGCCCGCTCGCGCCCTACCGGCCCCGTTAGCGCCCCGTCGGTCCCGTGCGCCCCTCTGGCCCTGCTCGCCCCACCAGCCGGTTAGTGCCCCAACAGCCCCGTTAGCGCCCTACCGGCCCCGCCTGCGCCCCGTCGACCCCGTGCGCCCCGTCGGCCCTTGCCAGCCGGTCGGCCAGCCGGCTCCCAACCAGCCAGCTCCAGCGCCGACCCACTGGCTCTGGCTCCCTTCAGCGCCGGCTTCCCTGTCGGCTGTCTCCCCCGCTCTCCACCGCTCTCCACCGCACTCCACCGCACTACACCGCCCTTCACCGCACTCCACCGCCCTCCACCGCACTCCACTGCACTATACCGCACTCCACCGCACTCCATCGCACTACACCGCACTCCACCGCACTCCATCGCACTCCATCGCACTTCACCGCACTCCACCGCTCTTCACCGCATCCTCCACCTGTCCTCCTCACTCAATCAGCGGCCGTCAGCAGCTGCAGCAGTGACGATGGCGGAGTCACAGCTCCGTTTGGATGCTGAGGGTCGGGCGCTCGACTTTGAGGCCTGGCTCGTCGACCTTCGGTGTCACCTTACAGGTCAGTGCCAGGACGGTCACTCCCTGGCTGTTCATGTCGATGGCTTGCTTCCCCGCCCCCCTGCCCCTGCTGCCCTCCCTGCTGGCCCCACCTCTGCTGAGCGTGAGGCTATTTCCGCTGCTGCGCTTGATCATGCCGTCTGGGACTCGCGCGACGCTGTCGCCCAACTTGCTATCAGCCGTGCGCTCCAGCCGTACCCTCTTGTAGAAGTGCTCCTAGCATTTTGAAACGTTTGTCATATTACTGTGATACAATCAGAATTTGATAAGGCATCCAAGAACCACCAAATGAGATGGCATAGATAAGAACATTACAACAGATGATAGTCTTACACTAGAAAGATTGACTAGAATGTGCGATACAGGGTAGTTTTGACGAAGGTGTTGTACTCTCTATAAGACTGCACCTATCTAGCCTATAACATATACAAAATATATGTTGACACACCCCCTAGGACAGACAAGGGCAACGACCAGCACGAGACACGCAGCTCAGGGTGGCACTACTAGTCCAACCTCTGAAGCAAGGGTTTGAAGACCAGTCGAACAAGAGTAGACAGGAAAAAAGAGCAACCCAGGGTGGCACTACTAGTCCAGCCACTAGAAAAGGGGCCACAAGGCCAGTCAAGATAGTATAAGATATAGTACACAATCAAGGTCCTAGCAAGTGAGAAGCTACAAGAACGAGACCAAGCTGTATATTGTGTCGCTCATGATCTTTAGGAGCAAGCGCCTTCGTAAAGATATCAGCTGTGTTGGCACCGGAGGCCAAGTGTACTACGCGGGCCAAGTGACGCTGCTGTAGCTCGCGTAGGAGGAAGTACCGCAGCTGGATGTGCTTTGCTCTACCCTCATGTCGTGGCTCCTAACACATGAGGATCATGGCCTTGTTGTGAACGTAAAGAACCAGGGCAGAGCTAGGCCGCTCACCTAAGTCGGCGAGCAAGAAGGTCATCCAGCGGAGCTCCTGTGCCGCCATGGCACCAGCGTAGATCTCAGCCTCACTGCTAGACTGGGCAACAGACAAGGAGCGAGTGGACCTCCACGAGATGGAACCCGAACCAAGGCTAAAGCAGTAACCTTGGGAGGACCTGGCGGTCTCAGCGTCGTCTGCCCAAGAAGCGCGCCTGTGTGCCCAGTAAAGACCACTGGCCTGCATCCTCCTAGCACTAGCCCCATGCCTGATGTACTCGCTAGATAACGCAAAACCCTCTTAGCAGCCAACCTGTGCTGTGGTTGGTGTCTGCCGGTGGCCACAAAGTGAGCCAGGATGCTGAGAGGGTATGTGAGATCGAGACGAGTGCAAGTCATCAGCTACATGAGGCAACCCACCAGCTCTGCATAGGAACCACTAGGCTCTACAGCCTCCTCAAGGAGGCATAGAGTCTGTGGTCTACTGACAGAGGGGTGGGCTGTGCGGAAGAGAATAGAAGGCCGAACCTCTGAAGGACCTGGCGCACCAAGTGTGACTGTGCACGCTGCTTTGTCACTGGAGATCTGCAGGCCAAGGTAGCGGCGCAGCTCTTGTAGGTCAGTGCAGGTGTGTCTCCTCAGCAGCTCGGCCTTCACAAAGGCCAGCGCGTCTCTGTCTGTAGTAGCAAAGACTAGGTCGTCTACATAAACAAGGATGTAGAACGGAGTCTGGCCAGAACGAACGAAGAGCGAAGGGTCTGCAGAGGCCGAAAAGAACAGCAGATCAGCTAGCGTAGCACGCAGCGTGTCGTGCCACTCACGGGGCGCCTGTCGCAGGCTTTAGACTGGGCGTCGGAGGAGCTACTGGGTTCCAGGAGGGAAGGTACCGGTGAAGCCCTGCGGTCGGCGCAGGTAGACCTGCTCGTGTAGGCTGCCCTGAAGAAAAGCAGTGGAGAAGTCGAAGGAGTGGAGCTCGTAGTCACGCTGTGCTGCTACGTGTAGCAGCGCCAGAAGAGTAGTCATCTTCAGGGTCGGGGCGAAGGTCTGAAAGAAGTCCACCCCTTCTCGCTGACTGAAGCTTCTAGCTACGTAGCGTGTCTTGAACCCAGGCGGCTCTTCAAAGGGACGCTTCACCTTGAAGAGCCAGCGGCCATCGACTACGTTCACCCCAGGTGGGGGAACTGCATCGACATAGGTGCCGGTGGATCTCCAAGATGCCATCTCCTGCTCCATGGCAGCTATCCACTGAGAGGTCCAGGGTCCTGAGGTCGCCTCCGCATAAGTGCGAGGAGTCGGGATGTCAAAGGCGTCTGGGTCACCCTCAAGGACAAGCAGCATGGAGCAGAGATGGGCAGCAGCCTCGGACAGGAAAACAACCTCGTACTGCATGTCCTCTAGGGCGTCACTGCCAAGGGAAGGAGCACTTCCGAAGGATGAAGGACGGACAAGGTCTGAGACCAGAGCGGTGGCGTAGTCAAGGCGGTGGGTGGAGGCGAAGTCAGCGACAACAGCGACAAGAGCGTCAAGACTGGAGATAGGAACAGACGGGTCGGTAACAAGGGAGGCAATGACTCGAGGAACAAGAGGACGAGCGGCACGAAGGTAGTCAAACAGAGGGGGAGGCGCGACAGCGAGCGACGGTGGAGGAGGTGAGGGGAGGATGGGAGGACAAGATACGTGGGAACAAAGCAACATAGGGTGAGAACGCTGACCAGGAGAGACAGGACGAGCATGAGAGGGACGGTGAGACCAGACGTGAGACAGAGGTGTCGGGTCAGGAGACAAAGGAGGAGTAACATGAGGGGAACGAGGTGGAAAATGGGCTGGGGATGAGTCCGGCAGAGGAAACACAGGACCGTGGATAGGAAGGGGAGGAGGCGACGGGGGAGGCGTAGGCGAGCGATAAGGGATGGGAAGGCCGAGAAGGCGAAGGGCGGACACCGGCGGCGACTGCAGCTGATGCGGCTGCTCGACGCCGACACCTAGACCGCCGACTGCACCGTGGCCAGCCCCGGAACAATCCTCTCTAGCACCCCTAGAACGAAAACCCCAAGAGCGAGATCCCTCTCCAGCACCGGTGCCAACCCCGAGCCCGCCGGGACAAGCCATGACAGGAACCCCAGGACTACCACCCTCCTCAATGCTAGCACCTCCAGAGTCCACGAATGGCTGCTGCTGCTGCGACCGCAGCGGCGACGACGCTGGCGGAGGAGGAGACACCGGGGGATAAACATGTAGCGAGAATTGTGCCGCGGGGCCACCCGAGTCCGCCGACTCCTCGACGGGGTCTAGCAACGGGAGGGGAGTGACGTAAGACACACCAGATGGAGCAGGACCGAGAGGGAGGTGAGCAGGGGCTACAGGGGGAATGGGAACCAGAAACAGGGGAGGGGAAACTCGGAGACCTTGGTACGGAAAGCGGTGGTTAAAAGGAGACAGACTCTTTGAAAGTGGCGTCACGGGAGTGAAAGAAGCGGTGAGACGGCGGGTGGTAAAAGTGCCAGTCAGACGAGTCAAGAGGGAAACGGAGGAAGAGACAGGGGACCGTGTGGGCATAAGCTTGTTCGTGCCAGAGGCACCAACGTGAGTTAGGCAACCCCAGATGTGGAACGCAGACGCGTCACGAGGGAACCCATTCCAAAGAAAGGTCGGCGAGACTTGCGGCCGCTGGAAGCGCGGCCACAGGTTAAGCTGGTGAGCGGCATAGCGAACGGCGAACGGCCAAAGCAAATGGGGTGCACCAGCATGAATCCTTCAGGTACGAGCCACCTCCATGACCAAACCGATGCATTGCTCAGCGACCCCATTCTGCTGCGGGGAGTCTGGTAGGGTGTACGACTGGGTGATGCCCTCCGCACGACAGAAATGTCCAAGCCGACCAGAGGCGAACTCGCCGCCACGGTCGGAGTGGAGACACAACACAGGGAGGCCGCAGTGG